CACTATATGGACCAAGGTGAAAGATTCTTTAACAGAGGATATAACCATGCACAACAGTGGGTAAACAATAACCAACCTCAACCGCCTCAAACGTGGGGAATGTAAAGTTTTTTACTGAGATGAAATGAACAATGCAGCATTGAGACAAATGAGTTCAAGATGGATTTGTCGGCTTCCAGCATTTAAACCGATACCATATAGTCAGGCTCAGCATGTGAAACTGAATGATATTATTAAAGGAACCATCCCACCTCCACAACAACAACCAGTTGAAAACAAACCAAACTAAAATTTTTTACTGAGATGAAATGAACAATGCAGCTTTAAACAGAATAAGTCATGGAAGACCACCTTTTACACCACGTGTTTGTAAAGTTCTTCCTATACCTCAGGAAGTTTTAGACCGACTTAAAAAACCTAAACAACCAGTTGAAAACAAACCAAACTAAAATTTTTTACTGAGATGAAATGACCGAAGAAGTTGAAACGGTAGATTTGACACCACAAACAAAAAGTTCAGAACCATTGTCAAAACCTGTCAAAGAACTTACAGATGAAGAGAAAAATTCAATAATAGAAAGTGCCAGGTCTGGAAATACAAACCCTAACTATAAAGTCACTTTTCATAGAAATGGAACGGCTAGTATCTCAAAAAAGAAACAGACTCTCACAAATAAAATATTGAAGTCTGAAGGAGCTTTCGAGACAACAGATGGAAAAGTTTACTTCACTGACCAACAGTTCATTATAGAACATCTCATTGACTTAGAGTCGAAATATTCTAAACTTTACAACAAACACAAAAAGTTGAAAGGAAAACAAAAACAAATGGCATATGATATTTATGAAGATGTTGACGACACAACTGTTCCTGCAAGTGAAGTAAAGTCAGAGGAACCGAAAAGTGACGAAAAACCGATAGAAGAAGAAAAACCAAAAACTGAAGATAAACCAAAACCAAAGTTTAGTTTCCAAACTAAACCAAGTCAACCTTCATTAGCTGGTATGGGTTGGCGTCAAAGACTTATGGCAGCAGGCGGTTATGTAAAGTAAAGAAAAAAATATTTTTTTTTTTTATAAAAATGCCCCCATATAGAATGGATAGAAAGTCTGCTAGAATAAAAGCAGAGTTACAAAGATATGGTTGGAGAGTTTCGAAGAATTTTAAATATAGGAAGGGAAGACCCATAAAAGTCTATGACAAATTGTCTGGTCTTCGCTACGAAATGGATTTGGAAACAGCACGTGCCAATTATCCAAACAGACTAGAGAGGTTAGAAGAAGAACGTCTTATGGACATGCCTTTCGATGTTAGTGAACCTCAAGTTGAAGGACACGACGGCTTTGCCAGATTCTACTGGAAACATGACGAACAATTGCATCCTTTGAGAAGGAAAAAAGGAAAAGGTGAAGACGCACATGCTCCCATGGAAAGAACAAGATATGCATATGAAAAGTATCGTGAAGTTAGAAGTCAAATTACATCTGGTCGAACCTTTACAGTAAACTTTGACGAAGGAAAGAACAAAGAAGGCTTCATGGGAGTACTTGCTGCAATTCAAGACGGAAATAAGAAAGGACACAATCTCAGATTGACCATAACAGATTTGGATGGTCACATTTACTATGCACATGGCAATGAACAAACAGCCGCAAAACTTCTTGACGCTTTCAAGACTACAAAGAGAGAACAAATGGTTGACTCCGACTCAGACATTTTGAATGCAATTGAAGGAATTGCAAGTGTCAAGTTCGAATGGTACCAACCTAACCCTCAAGCAGTCAGACAACATGCTGGATACTTCCCTTCATAAATAAGTCTGACATTGACTTGACAAGGTATGGAATTTACAATTCAATTGAAACAATTGTCAATGAACCTTGTATTCTTACATGTCTCAGGAACTCTGGTCTTGTTACAGATGAGAAGATGAAGTATCTTGAGTCATGTGTGAAGACAAGGTACATTCTCAGAGGTCAATTGGCAAAAATTGCACCGTTGGCAAATGTCAATATCCGAGTCAACATACCTACAGCTAAAGGTTCTTCACATGACGACTATGTTGTTGACAAAGACTTACCATGGTTGAAGATTGTAATTGTCCACAACCACTTCATGTTGAACGAAAGTCTTACAAACCCATTCTTTGGTAAAAGTAAGTGCAACATTGTCAGAGCTGTAAACATTCTTTTCGAGAAAGGTTTGTTGGAACCAATTCCAGATGACAAGCTGACAGAAACTTTTGTACCAAAAGACGAAACAAACTTTTCATTGTTAGCAAGACCAAAAGTTGTTCCAGACAAAGTTCTAGTACAAAAGAAGTACACAGTTCCACAAGGAGTTGGTATGTTCGGATACCAACCTGAACCAGAAGAACTTCCAATGAGGTTGCAAGAACTTCAAGATGCTATAAACAAACTTCCATTGAGACATCCAATTGACGTCAAATTGTATTGGAGAGCATCTGAGTTAGGTCAGAAGGTTTTATATGAAACAGGTTGCTTCGACGATGTTTATGAGATAACAGGAGAAGTTTCTCAGAAGATAAGAGACTCACTTGAATTTCCACAAACTGGACCAATTGGTTGCGACAAGTTCGACTCAGATGAAAAGATATACTATGTCGACCTTAACGCTGCATACATGAGGTTTGTCCAATATATTCCGACTGGAATTCCAAACGAAGATGGTGAGTTCCCGGGAAGGAACTATACAGTTGGAAAAGTCATACAACAACTGTATGATATTAGGAAAGCTTCAAACCCCAAACTTGCAATGACACTCAAATTGCTTATGAATTCGACATGGGGATATTCCATTAAGAAACCTCAAGAGATGAAGAGTAAACATTATGAGAAGGTCGACAACTTTGTTGAAAGGTTTTCTCCTTTTGTTTTGAAGTACGAATTCACTCAAGGTCAAAGTGGCTTAGTAACCACATTAAAACCTATTGTCGAACATTGGTCTTACCCTCAGTTCGCAAAAGCAGTCCTTGACGAGTACAACAAATTCTTCTCCGAAGTCAAATCCAAAGTCAAGGTTTACTATGAGAACATTGACGCACTCATGACGAACGAAGAAGGATACAACAAACTCATTGAAATGGGAATGGTCGGTGAAAAGATGGGTCAATTCAAATTGGACAAAATTTTCACCGAAGTTCATGTCCTCTCCAAGCGTAAGTACTGGGGTGTTAAAGAAGATGGTGAAATAGTTAAACATTGCATGAAATAAAAAATTTATTTTAAAAAAAGTGACATTTTTTTAATGGCGTACATCCCTGAGCGCTTCGTCCAGTTCAACCAAATGTTGGTCTCGGACCCAGGCAAGAGATATTCCAAGCCCGAACTCGACCGTCTCTTCAAAGAATGGATTGAAGACTACAGAGGAGACGAGTGGTTGACAATTGAATTTGCTCGGGCTTGAAATTGCTACAGAAGGGTCTTAGACGTGGACCCAAGACTCACGTACAGAGGTTGGGATGTGGTCTTCACATTCCAAGATTGGTACGAATACCAAAAATAAAAACTTAAATTTACTTGGGGTTTCCCCCTAAAATAATTTTTTTACTCTTAGAACCACTCGAGGTTCTCCTTACGGTTGTTGAGCTTGTCACCGTCAATGTGTCTGACCTTCGTCTTCTTGTCTGGATTTGGAACCCATTGAATTGCGACAAGCTTGCCCATGGAGATTGAACCGCGATTCCGAAGGTTCAGGTTCAAGTGTCCCAAGTTGTTGAGGACTGGGGTAAGAACCTTGCCTGTCTCCTTGTTGCGGATTTGGTATGGGTAGGGTTGGGAAATTTCGTAACCGTCATCGGCAACAAGGGTTGCCCATGTAGCGGCTTCAGGAACTTCTTCGTGTTTCTCTTCTTCCTCTTCTTCCTCGACAATTCCTTCTTCAATTTGGTACTCACGAAGTACGGTGTTGCATGTTCTGTCCTTTCCGAGTACCTTCCAGATGGCGTCTATCTCTTCGAAGAAACGGTAGATGAGTCTGGCAAGGTCTCGGTTCTCTCTCTCGTAATTGCGCAACGATTCTGAGAAATCGTTCAGGCATTTCTCATTGGAAGCTTGGTTCATGAGGACATCGGCTTTGAGATTGGTCATCTCTGTCATAAGACTACTTTGGAGAGTCTTAATGGTGTTTGTCAGATGAGCTTTCAATTGGGCAATTTGAATTTGAATTGGGTGCTTGTCTGGCAACCTTGAAAGGACATCTTCCATTGTGTTCGGCTTCGGTGCTTGTTCGGACATCGAAAAAATGAAGTGGTTTGAGAATGACGGTTTTACTTCAAAAAGCTGGTTATGACAGTTAAGTCATACAACAAGTTTAAAATAATATCTTGTTCTTCTTCTGAACGTTTGTTGTCTCTTCCGATAAAAGTTTCGAACATGAGAACCAAAAAACGTTTTTTGAGATTGCGGAAGAGTTCAGGCAAACGTTCATATTCTGGATATGTTGGGAGCAGTTCAAAACATCTGAGCTGACTTTCGGACAAAATTGGGACAATGTCAGAAAATTCATCTTTGGTCGGACTGCTTGAAGGTAAGTCCCTTACATGTAAGTAGCTCTGGTAAAGTCTTCTCATTTCTGCTAACTTCTGGAGTATAGCTTCGTAATTTAAGAGTTTTAATTTTAATTGTCTTATTCCTCTCTTGACATCTAAACGGTAAGTATCCATGAGGTCAAGAGTAGCTTTGGTAGCTTTAAGTGGAGCTATCTCTTCTTTGACTTGTGCAATTTTGGTTGCAATTGTGGTTTGAGCTCCTTCAAGTTCGCCGTCTATGTCGTTCTCAACACCTTCAACCATAGCTTGAAACTCTTCATCGGTCCATTGAGTTTGGTGTGGGACGAATTTAACTTGCTTCATTCAAAAAATGAAAAAAATGTTTTTACTCTAAACGTGCCATATAGATGGCTATAAGAAACTTACCAGAAGGCTTCTTCTTCACATGAGACTCTGGTAACTTGAGTGTTGGTGTTGGAGTTCTTGGGGGAGGTGGGTCTGTAATTTCAGTTATCTGACAGTCGCAACAACATCTGTCAGAAGTACAGTTTCCAGTGTCTGTAAAACCAGCACGTATTATCCATCGACCGAAGCGATAGTCGCAATCATTCCTTCTACATAAGGTTCACAGTTGAAACAATTGTACTCATACCAGGTGAGTACGAGTGTGAGTAAAAACATAAAAAAAGTGAAGTTAAACGTTAAGGTTTACTGAATTGGTTGGATGTCGCCTTCTGAGGTTATGAAGAACGGCCGTCCTGAGAAGTGGAACAGTGCTCTGAGAATTTGTATAATTCGTGGAATTGGACTCTCTCTGTTTGGAAGTTGTATCCATGGGCGCTTTGCAAAGAACTTGAGAAGAGCTTCTTTCTTCATCTCCTTTATGTCGTCTACAGGAGTGTTTTCTGGTATTTGTAGGACAATTCCGGTTTCAATTTCGATTTTCAGCGCACCTCTTCCAGACAACCAGAAGCCGAGGGACATGTTGGCTTTGTCCTTGCCCAAGTACTGCTTAACAACTTCATTTATCTCTATAAGGTAAATTGCCTCATCTAATGGCTCGATGTTGTCCATTGTTCTGTTTCAGAACTAGTCTTGTACTTTTTCAGAACAATACTTGTACTGTTTCAGAACTAGTCTTGTACTTTTTCAGAACAATACTTGTACTGTTTCAGAACAATACTTGTCCTTTTTCAGAACAAGACTTGAACTTTTTCAGAACAAATTTCCCGTAAAAGCTCTCAATTTGTGAGAAAAATTTTCTGTTTCAGAACAATACTTGTACTTTTTCAGAACAATACTTGCACTGCTTCAGAACAATACTTGCACTGCTTCAGAACAAGACTTGCACTGCTTCAGAACAATATTTGTACTGTTTCAAGACAATGTCCGACGTACCACCAACCGAGTCCATTCCCAAACCAGAGGAACCTAAAGCACCAGCCCCTGCACCTCAGTTCCAACAAGGACCTCCGAATTACTACCAATTTCCACCTCAAGGTTACTACCCACCACAAGGCTTCCCGAACTACCCTCCTCAGCCTATGCCTTACTTCCCCAACCCTTGGATGTTTATGCAAAACTCTGCCCCACAATTCCAATCTCAATCGAAGAGAGACCAAGACTTCGAAGAAGGTCTGAACCGCTTACGCAAAGAGTATGCTACAGCTCCAATGGAAGACGACAGGCTTTCAGTCTCTTCCCTCAAATCGACCGATTCAACTCGTACCACAGATTCGGTTCGTGACCGTGAAGACTACCTCAAGCAGTCTGAGAGACTCTTCATCCTACAACCATTTACAGTTGGAGTTCTCAAGAGCATGCGCAATTACGAAGGTCAGACACCAGCTGGAGACCGCAAAACAGACGTACTCGCAAGAGCCGTCCAGCTCGTCAAAACAAAGACGGAGATAGTCGACTTCATACTTGCAGCTTGCCCTTACAAGTAAAAAAATAAACAATTACGAATTAAACTTTTTACTCTTTCTTTTCTGAGTTGTTTAGAGCTGGTTTCTCTTGTAGAAACCTTTCGTACTCTTCCATGGTCATGTAATTGCGAATTTGGTACGCAATTCCAGGTTCGTTGTTTTTGAACCTGATGTATGTAACGCTTCCATCCTCCTCAGGGAAGTAAGCTGCTAACATCTGACCAAGTTTTCTCGGTGACTCGGAGCTCATAAAAATGTCACTTTTTAAACGTTAAGTTTTTAGTCTTATTTTACCCTTTGTTTGTCAAGGTAGTATTGGAGCGCAATTTCTCCAAATTCTCTGTGTCGGAGTTCTTCAGCATTTTCCAAGGTGTACCTGGAGAACTCAAAGAAGTTGTCAAGAACAATACTGTCATGCTGCTCTTCTGAGTTCGTCGGTATTTTGGAAGTGTTGCACCTTCGAGTCTTCGGACATGAAAAAAATGACACTTTTTCTATTAAACCGTTTTGGCATTTCTCATGAGTGAGTATAGTTCTGCCGAACCATTGGAAGAGAAGAAGTACCCTTGCTGGCAAAAGACAAAAATAGTTGCCTTAGTTGTCATTGCAATTGTACTCGTAATTGAATTCATTGTACTTCTCTTCACGTACATAAAACTCAGCAATGGTATTTGCTTTAAGAAGCTACCATCTTACTAAGACTAAACACTTAGATTTTTCAAGCTTGACTTTTTACAATTTGAACTTTGTTTGCGTAGATATGAATTCTGAAAGAAGTATGAGGGTCTTGTATGACTTTGTACTTCTCCCATAGTTCATGTCTGTCAAACTTACCTGCCATGGACTCTTTCATAAGTTCCATGAAATCGTCTTCGGACAATCCGGGGAAAAGTAATGTCAGTAAGTATTCTTTTAACATCCTTACTTAAACTCTTTGCTGTCTGTACACAAATGACAACTGAGATGTTAAAGTGTCTGAGCTTCTTAAGAATTCGACACATATCTTGTTCTCTGTTCTTTAACAAAGGATGAGAGGCGAAATCATCTAAGATAAGAAGACATCTATGAGGGTAAGTCTTCCAATCGTAAGATTGCAATTTCTTCGAAATGTATTCTATCTCTTTCTGTTTGTTTCTGAAGTGTTTCTTCTCTAATATTCTCTGCATTTCCTCATTAGGGTCTTTAACTTAGAATTTATATACTCATTTATAGCATTATACTTCAAAACTCTTCTTTGGTACTTCTTTATCCAATCTAACAACTCAGTATCCTTTATACATACTAACTTAGACTTCTTTATAATATCTTTGAACGAATTGACGGTTTGGTCAAATTGACCAGAAGTCGAACAAATAACAACTAACTCATAGAATGGGTTCTTCTCATCTAGTTCTTGTTGTTGTGCAGCCATTTTAAGATAAGTGAAAGTCTTACCCGACCCAGGTGGTGCAATTAGACCTGTTATACCATTCTGAGCAAATAAGAACTTTCATGTATAGGCTTTATCTGAGCATTTTCTAACTTCCTCTTGTTCTTTTAAAACATTCTCAAATTTTTTGTCAATGTCAGCAAACTTTTTTTCTAACATTTTTTAGAAAAATTAAAATTTTTATCTTTTAGAAAATGTCTAGCGATTTCGCTATCTATATTCGGACAAACTTTTTGACAGCAAAACATCTGTCGACCATAAAATCTTACATAGTGTAAACAAGAAAGGTGAATTTGTTCTAAAGTTCTGTTTCTGGGAATATGACAAGAACCATAAAACATTACAAAGAGCAGTCTTAAAATTTGTCAATGACAGACTTGTTGACAGAGATGACGCCGATTGGAAAGATGAAGTCCAACAAAAGTTCTTAGAATGCAAAGAAGACACATGCGCTGTTCTTGAAGATGAAATAGAAAACAGAATAGATGAGCTATTAAAGGACAAAGAACTTTTACATAAATATGGTTCTGAGAAATTTGATCTCACCACCAGAAAGAAGAAGAAAGAAAAGAAAGAGAAAAAAGAAGAAGAGAAGAAAGAACCTGAACCAGTTCCAGAGAAAAAGAAATTTGACATGTAAAAATAAAATTTTATTTTTAGAACATTTCTGGGTCAATGTCAATGTTCTCTTCCTCTTTAGGAGTAAACACTGGCTTAGACTCTAAAATCTTTTTACCCAATTTACCTTGAACTTCTACAACTTTAGACTCATAATATTCATAGTCGTCTGTCTTCTTTGGTTCATAAGGTATAACAAGTTTGTATGCTTTGCCTTCTTTAAGGTTTGAGAACCTTCTGTCAAAACTTTCTTTGACTGTTAACAAACCTTCTATGTCTAAGTCTTCAAATTTCGCACCATTTTTAGTCACAATAGCAAACTTAACTGGTTCGATGTTCCAAACTTTGCTGAATGAAGACTTTTCAAAATGGTAGAAGTAAACATTCAAATATGTGAATGGGTCTAGTTCTTCTTTAAGTCCTGACATGTACTTGTTTACTGAGATGAATTTCGTCATCTTTTCTATCGGATAAAAAAATATTTTTTTTAAAATTTACTCAGAAAAATTTTTCTTTGTATATACACCATTCTGTACGTCTAAAAGACTTTTGACATTTGCCAAGAATGTACGTTTAGAAGCTGCCATATAACCATATTCTTGACAATATTGTTTATATTCATCATATAAAGACTTTTCATCTAATGACACAAAGTCAGTTTCATCTATGAACAGTTCATATACACTCTTGTTTGCTTCTAACAATGTTTGTCTCTCTTCGGTATGTGGAATTTGTCTTGGATTGAACTTAGAAATATCTAATGTCATGAAATATGAGAACAAGTGGTTGTAAAAGTCAGATGTCAAAGTTTCTGCTAAGTCGTCAAAATATTCTGTATCTTGCATATGAGAATCTGACGTTCTGACAACTACATATCTTCTGTCAGAACTTTCTAACTTCATCGGAACAGCATTGTTTGAAACCATAATGAAGTTTGCAACATTTTCACAAACTCTTTGGTCTTTATACTTTCTTTCAACAACTCCAACTTTGTCTGTTATAAGACTCTTCAAAGCATCTGAGTTCAAAACTTTTGTTGTATCTATACTTTGAAGTTCATTGCAAACTATAAGTTTCATATTCTCTATTGAGGAGTTAAACTTGCCACAGATGTTTTCTAAGTTTGTCATATTCGGGTTCGAATAACCTTCTAACAGTTTGCATAAGATATCTGTAAAGAATGTGTTCTTACCTGTTCCTTGTTTTCCAATTATAATGAGAGCAGTTTCATTTTTAGCACTTGGATGTTGTAAGATGTTTGCAAACCAACATAAGATATACTCATAGACTCTTTCGTTTCCATTGCATATAATTTCTTTGACATGGTCTAACCAAGCTTCTATAATATTTTCTTTCCATTCTACTTGTTCGTATTTATATCCAGTGAAGATAGAATAGAAGTTTGGAGAAGGTGTATAGAACTTTATACCTCGAACTGAAAAATCTTCTAACTTTGACAATAAGATATCCCAAGCATCTAACATCTTCATTCCAACTTGTACAACTTTTATTTTCTTAAGTTTCTGTCTACATTCTTGTTCAAACTATTGTTGCTTTGGTTTGTTAAAGACAACATCCCATTCTTTCATGACATAACATTCTGGGGCAGAGTCAACATAAATGACTAAACGTTTCAAATTCTCGACTGCTTTGTTATAGTCTCAAATGGACACATATTTCTGAATGCTTGGAAGTCATAAAAATCTGAAACGTCTATTCTGTACATTTTTATAAAAATAAAAAAAAATATTTTTTTATTCTTGACTTTGTTCCATTTGTTGCATTTGTTGTTCTTGAGCTATTTGTTGTTGAAGTTGTTCTTGTAATACAATACTTTCACCAGTTGCATCTTCCAATTCGAAACTTTCTGCCGTCATTGACAAATACATAGGACATAAAAGTTTTACAGGAACAAAGTTTGCGTCAACTAATGTCAACGTTATACTTGCCAAAGTGTTTGAGTTCACTAAGGTTGAAAATTCTGCATTCGAATGAACAATAGGCAAACCAGCAGAGAAAGTATTGTTTATACGCATAAGTATCTTTTGGTCATAATAGTTTCTGTCGACATTCGAATAACACTTTGAACCTAAGTTTGAAACAATATATAAGATTGGTGTGCTTAATGTCAATGGAATAGACATTCCTTGTATGACACCTTTTCCTGTTATAGGAAACTGTTGGTAGTAAAAACCAGAAATAAGTTTTGTATTATAGCTCATATCGTTTATAGTAAACTCAGTCGGACATCCAAACATAATGAAACCTGCTCTAGTTGCAGCACATGTTACACCCGTACTTAAAGTATTAAATAAGTCAACAAAACCTGTTGGTGGTATATCTGAGTAAGTATCTTCAAAGGAGTATTTTTTACCATTCACAACAATAAAGTCTTCTGGTGTCAAAAGAGCAAAACAGGCTTTAGTCGTCATTGTGTTTAAGGTTAGTTTACAATATCGTCCTTGAGGACTTTGTAAGTTTGTTGTTATAGAATTATATGACTCAGGGTTTTTAGTCGTAATAGTATAAACCATTATGTCTTCTGCCATTTACTTAGCAAATAAATTTTAATGAAATGTTGTGGTCGTCAAATATTTTATAACGTCTGGGAAACTATACTTTAAGTTCAACGTTTCACCTCCTTTCATAACGTATATCTTGTCAATGACATTATATGAAACACCACAGCAACTAATGTCGGGTTCTATTTCTTTGATGTTTATATCGTCTGCCTCTGTCAAAAGTTTCAATAGTTCTTTCAAAACTTCATGAGGTGCAATGACATATGAGTTCACTTTTACAGGGTTGTGTTCGACCAAGTTTAACATTATACTTAAAGCTTGACAAATCTTCTCCTGAGTTTGAAGTTTGTCTTTCAGTTGTTGGTAGTCGTTTCGAATATCTGCAACAGAACTTAAGTCTCTGTTAACTTCAGGATATGTTGGTTCTTTTACAGGAACAATTGTTATACCATCTTCGTCTTCGTATGGTTTCCCCACTTCAACATCTCTGTCTTTGACATTGACAACAACACTTTGACTGTTTGTTTGAGTTGGTGAATTTAACTTCACATCTGCCACCGCCATTAAACCTTTTGAAACACTTACGCTTCTATTTTTCGGAAATGACATTTTACTTAGAATAAAAAGATGGACGTATTCGGATATCTTATTGAATTGAAGCAGAACAAAGTTTATACTCACAAACAATACAAATACATTGACAGAATAGTTCTTTACACAAACAATGGAAAATGTTATAGAATAGCAGTCTTTGCTGAACCTAAATATTTTCATAAAGCAAAGAAAGTTGGTATAACTGAAATGGTGAAAGTTCTTGAAGCAGACAAAAATATAACTTCAAAACTTACATATATTACTAAAGGAAAGTTTATAATACAATATTATGTCAAAACTGGCGTACTGTCAATATTTGACGGAGAGAAGTCAGTTCAAGAACAACTTACTGACCTGCTGCCAAAATCTGCTCGATGGAAGCTGTCGTTATGCCAATCTGAGGAGCCCCAGCAGGTTTCATCGAACGAATCTTCAAAAGAGCATCTTCCGTGAAAAGTGCTATTGGTTTTGTAAACTTCTTTGCTCTCAATTCATCTGGACCGTCTCTGTCACCAGTATATTGTATTTGAACTGTACCAACAGTTGAAATACCACCCATAAAGTCTTCTGAGTCAGCAAATGGAATGCCAAGCCAAAAGTTTGAACGGTCTCCATTTGTATATTGAGTTTTTTGACCTCCTGTATGAGTCCATACTTTCACATATGGCATAATAGAACTTTGCATTTCAGGGTTAATGGTTGTTGTGAAGTTGTTGTTAAAGTTCATAGCATCTAATGTCAAGTTGTATGACCTCATATCCTCAACTGTAGAATATTCTTCTCTTGGATAATATTTGCCATCTATGTTTATATGATATTTAATACCAGGGTTGTAGAAACAAGAATAGTCATTTATAGTTCGTCTGAACAGTACAAACATAGTATCTGCATGTTTCATTGCAGTTGTTAAAGCAATATCTGTTCTTGCACCTGCGGCTCCTGGATTTTGGTTTCCAACTTCACCTGCAAAGTCTTTGACAGATATTTGGTGTATAGGGAACATAAGTGGAACTGCAATATATTTGGCAGCTAAAGCATTTGAAATATCTGGGTCCAACATATAGACTGCAAGTCTGCTTTCTATTCTCTTGCATTCAAATTTTTCGCATGTGAACTTAACTGGGTCCCAAGCAGTTCCAGCAGCATTGAAATAATAGTTTACTTCATTGTTGAAGTTTGAGAAACCAAAGTCTAAGTCAACTTTGTCTTTGCAAAATTCGGCGAATGACGTTTGATTTGTTCCCTTTACGTCTGTAATAGTGAATGGGTCTTGTGTTGGTGCAATGACTAAGTTATTTTTGCTTGGAGTAAGTTCAATAGAAATTTTTCCTGCCCAGTTTGGCAAGTATCTTAAAAACCTGAAGATGAGGAAAGATGACAAAGGAACTCTAAGTTTCAGTTTTACTTTGGTTACTGCTGCTGCAGTTTGTCCAGAAAGGTTAACATAAACTCCTGGAACGTTAGGGTCAAGTCTTCTTATTTTCTCAATAGTTGCATACTGGTCTGTTTGTTCTCTAGCTTGTGGTTGTACTGAGTTTCTCAAAGCGAACCATTCATAGTTTGCCCATGTTACTGTTTGAACTAAGTCAGAGTTAGAATATATCTTATATCCCATGAAAACTTCTGGAGCATATTGGTATCCGACATAGAAAATTCCATTGCAACCTTTCTTGTCAGACAACTTGGCAGAAGGTTTTATTTCAATGTCTTGTTCCACGTATAAGAATGAGTTGTCAATAGAAATAATATGAAACCTGTCGCAAGCAATATCTACTGTTGTTGAAGAACCTTCTCCAAACTCACCTACGTTTCCATAAGAAACAGCAGTTGTATATTCGTAAGTTCCAGGAACTATTTCTGACCTTCTAATGGCATTGTCGCATTCGTTATACCATTCGGAAACATTTCCGTTCATGGCATCCAAAACTGTTGGCGTTATATTCTGAGCGGCGTACATTTCATATGGGTAAAAATATAGAATAGTTGGATTTATATGTCATAATAGTCGGACCAAGCTTTACTTTCTTCCTGACTGAGTTTTTAACTCTTTTTTTCCTTCATTGCCACTACTTTCACTAGATGAAGTTACTTCTTCACTACTTTCACTTTGTTCTACTCTTCTCTTCTTCTTTGGTGTCGCTTTTGGTAACTTGCCCTCTGCTTCAAGTTGTTGCATCTTTGCCTCATGTTCACCTAGTATGTTGTAAATTTCCCATGTCCTTTTTGCCTTTGGGCTCTGGTCGCCCATCTCAGGTAACCTATATCCTAGAAAGATTTTGTCATAGTTTGTATTTGAGTCTTCGCGTATTGTTTGCATGACTCTTTCCTGAGTTTCCGGTTCAAGCTCTTCAAACAGAGCTTGTCCATATGGAATAAGCTCGTTTCCAAATATATGTTTTTGTAGCCATTCTGGTTTTCTTTCCATGTAACCAATAATATCTTTTGTGAATGGGAAAGCTTTTACCCAACGTTTCAGTCTTGCGTCATTTATTTCTGTAGTTGGTTTTATTTTGTCAAGGAACATGTTTTTCAATACTAACATTTCATTTGGTACTGTCCATTTGAGTTTTCTTAAATATTCATCCCTTCTCAGTTCATTGTCTGCAAAGTAAGTTTTTATGACATTTTGTAAACTTTCGTTTGCAAGGTCATGTACAATAGGTTCTCTTCCTTCTATCTCCCTAACTTTCTTTCTAAACTCTTCACCAAATATACCATCTCTATGGTTCTGTGTAGTTCTTTGAGATAAATGTTCTAGAACGTCAGGTGTTATATTTCCATCAGCCATGTTCATTTCATACTGGTCCAAAATATCTGCATGTTTCATATCTTTCAATGGCATTAAAGCCGCGCTGAAAATACCAGCTATATCTGGTTCACCATTCACTTCCATTGCGTCTACAACTTCTTGGAATTGTGGTTGTAAGTTTATGAACCACCTATCCGGATTAGCTTTATGACCCCATCTCATTGTAGTTCCATAGTCTGCAGAAACAAAAGTAGGTTTGTTTCCATATTGGTTAGGTTCTGAATGAACTTTAAACAATGTTTCATTTCTATATGTTTTGTTGAAATTTAACCTTTTATTTTCACCGAGTTCAGCCAAAGATTGAACGTTATATGGTCGTAAGTAAAAAGGATTGTTGTATTTGCGTACATTTTCTTTCAGTACTTCCATTCTATGCTGAATATTTTCATCTGATGTTGGAGTCTTTTGTATGTCGGCGAACATTTTTCGATATTCTTCTACTATGTCAGCCGAATTTTTCTTAGACTCTTGGAAAGATTCCATATTCTCCGCATACTCTTGTTGAGGGTCAAGATTTTTCGGCTGTTCCAAATCTTCATCTAGTTCTGTGAAGTTAGTTTCCAAAGGAGGGACTTGTTCGTTTCCTTCAGGCTCTTCTAGCTGTTGTTGCTGAACTATTTCTTCCATGTCTGGTTGTATCTGAACTTCTTCCTGTGGAGTTTCTTGTACCTCATCTGCTGGCATTTCATATATTCCGAGACCGTTTTTAACAAGTTCCCTATCTAAGTCATCCGGACTCATAAACCTTTCTTCTTTCGTTCCGTCTCTATTTTTTACGCGTTTCATGAAGAGAGTTGAATTATCATTTAGCTCTGACACCAAATATCTCGGAGTAAATTCATCATGTCATTTGGATGATATGCTATTAAATCATATCCCTTAGCGAGCTTGTATTTTCCAGGTTTGAGATTATATCCGATTTGATGCTGAACCATAAAGCTAAATAGGTTCGGGTCAGTATTTCCTTCCTTGAACTTTCTAATAGCTTCTTTATATCTGTCACTAAAGTCAAGAGTATCTGGGTAACCATAATCTTCCTTAAGCATTTTTAAGAATTCTTGGTTTCCTTGTTCTCTACTTCTTTTATGTCCTTGCTCTGTTTGTGGTTGTTGCTGTGCAGTGTTTTGAACTGTTGGTTGTGGTGCAGTGTTTTGAACTGTTGGTTGTGGTGCTGGATTTTGAACTGTTGGTTGTGGTGCAGTGTTTTGAACTGTTGGTTGTTGTGTTGGTTGTTGTGTTGGTTTTGGTGCATGCCTGTGTCTGTGTCCATGTGACGATGTAAATGTTTTAGGTAGTCCTGGTGCAGGTGCTTCTCTTGGAGGGTTTGGTGGTATATAAGTTCCACCAGCTGGCACATATGTTCCATCTGCAGCATAATGTCCTACCTGACTTTTCGTTTTTAAGAAAGCATTTACTAGGTCTGTTTTGGTCTGTTGTAACTCTTTTTCTTGACTTTCCACAACAGTTGCTCTAACGGCGTCATAGGCACTTTGAACTGCCTGTCTCGTTGCTGCATCTGTTATTTTCGTCATATTTTGTGCTACTTCTCTTAACTCGTTGTCGAAACCTTCAGACTTCAGTTTCTTTCCAGATGAGAAGTCGTTCACTAGTTTCACCTTACTATGAAGAGCTTCGAAGGCGTTCTTAAAGTCAGCATTCATTAAAGCTTCATTTGAACTGTCTTCATCCGCTTGTATTTTTGTCCTTATTGACCCTATAAGTTGGGCTGCTTTAGCGTTGGCTTGGGCATCTAACCAGTCATTATTAGCTTTTATATATTCTGCGCTTTTCATTGCCTTTTGCATGGCTGCGTCGTTATTTTTACTTTCTTGTGCTAAGTTTTCATACTGTACGGTTTGGTTTTGCAACTGTAAAAGTTTTTCTGCCTTTACATTTGCTTCAACTTCTTTTTTATACTCATCGCTATCCATATATGTCTTCAGGGCTTTTTGTTTTATCTCTTCATCTTTCAGTACTTTATATTGAGTAGTATGGTTTTTCAAATTTATAACATCTTGTTCCATTTTTGCTACTTCTGCTGCTTTTTCTGACACTTTTTTGCATATTCCTCTGTACTTAGTTCTTTCAGTTGTTCTTCTTTCTTCTTTTTCTCTACGTTTAACTCATTGAGTTTCTTTGTGTGTCTGTCATATTCTAGTTTCTTTTCGTTTTCACTTATTTGTTTCTGTATGTCTATGTTTGACTTTTTGACATCTGTTATTTGATTTTTGAGTGAACTCAAATTCATTTGACTTTGAGGGTTATAAGCTGTTCCGTCTGCAGCTCCACCATAGCCTGCCATTTTCGCTAAAAGTGCCGCTCTTAAACCTCCACTCTGTGCACCAATAACTCGGTTTAAAAGCATAGGGTTGCTTGACATTTGTTGCAACATAGTGGGGTCATTCATCATTTGTTGTTGCAACTGTTGTTGTGGTGTCAGTTTTACTATTGGATGTTTCAATGCTCCCTTCCTCTTACGTATATTCTTACGTAGCTTACGTGGCATTTTAAGTGAAGTTAAAAAACGGTTTTTGACAGATGTTTATATGACACTTTTTGTTCAGCACAAAAAACTACTCGGTCAAAGTGTTGTCAGTTTTGTAAAATAACCGTCCTATCTCATTCTATAAGGGGAAAAGGCTTCTCAAAGTATACTTCCTTGGAACGCCTGTAACTTTTCCTGTAGCGACGATAGACCCTTACTTGTCCGGACAAAGTTATACTATTTTGAGTGCTCTACAAAAAAGTCAACGGCGACGACTCTCAAAAACCGTTGTGTAAAAAGTTTTACCGTTGGACAAAAAAGTATATATAGAAAACAAAAAACGTTTATAGTTCATTCAATATTTGAGATGGAACGGTTTGCCAACGGTAACTATTAAATAAAATAAAAAAATAGAGGGGGTCTCCGTTGGTAAAAACCGTTTATTTTAAACTTTTCTATGAGTAGTCCGAAAAAAACAGTTTATTTTTCATAATGGAAGGAAGAAAAAGTGTCGCAAACAATTCGTCGACTACCTCTGCAGTTAAAGTTCCTACAACTTATGTCTCACCATTCTCAAAACCCTTACGACCTCCTATAATACCAAAGCAACTTCCTCATACAATTCAAGACAATTTGTCCAACAATTTGAGTTCTTCTTCTCAAAACACAACAGATACAGTTGTCCAAACAGCACCAGAACAAGTTTCACATAGTTCTACAATTCAAGACAAATTGTCCAACAATTTGAGTTCTTCTTCTTCTCAAAACACAACAGAAACATCTGAAACAGATTTACAACCAGCACCAGAACAAGTTTCACATAGTTCTACAAGTATGTTAACAAGAGCACAATTTCAAGATTTAATTTCTCTTGAACAATATTCGAGTAACGAAACACAAACCGACGACTGTAACCTCTCGCTACCCGAATCCATTCAAAGAAAATACGCCATGAAAAGACTGAAATTGTTGTATAAACTTCTTAACAATTGGGGGGTCGAAGACAACACAGATTATAGTGAAATGTTTAACAAAGTCATAGAATCTCTTAAACCAATTGAAAACGACATAAAAAATCCCGTGTTCTTGTAGACCTTTTCGCCTCAAAATTACCAGTTACAACTAATCTAATAGCAACACAAGCTATAGAGCAATTTATTTTATGTTTTCCCAAGCAATATAGACAACACCTGAGGGAAACAAGAATAGGAAAATTTCAATTGGTGTATCCTACAACATACAACTATTACGAAGAAGCAAATGAATATGGAGAACTCTCGTTCCATTTCACACTTTCAGTTCCTGAGGGAGAAGAAAAAGCAATCTATCATGTACAATCTCTTGCAGGATGTGAAGGAAAACCTCACATAATAACTACTGTTGCAATTGACAAACCTGCAAGAGTCGAAGACGATGTTTTGTTCGCGTCCATTGCTGGTTTTGGCATGGGAGAACCAATTCCAATTTCCCATTTCACAGAATACTCAGCACAACATTTTCAAAATGTAGAATTCGTGTTCTACGACCATCAAAAGTTCCTGCTAACAAAACCAAAGAAACAATTTGTCTCAATATTTGTTGCTGGTCATGTGGCTGACAAAGAGCCATCAGATACTGACTATGAAGAAGAGGAGGAGGAAGAAGAAAACGATAGCGATGTCGTTCTTATCGAATAAAAACTTTAATTTCTTACTATATAATTTTTTAGTTCTCCTCTAGGAAAATTAAATTTAAAATTTCATTGATTGTACAAAATTAAAAATCTCATTCTAAATGTTGAATTGTTTGCTGAAAAAGATTTCAGTTAGTAATGAAATTACAGCTTTTTATGATTATCTTCATTTGGCTATATAGTGATTTAATACATTAAAAAGAAAAGATCTTTAGATAGAAAAGGGTTTTAACATCAAACTCATTAAAACTGAGAAATGTGAAAAGACTATGGCCGCATCGAGAATGTAAAACTACTTAAACTTTACTCTTTGAATAGAGTGTAAAAGTTGTGATAGTTTGTACAGACCTATTTCTTTGCACCATGTGAAATAAGAAGCTCGGCTGTTTCTCTACTATAACTTTCTTTTGCATAGTGAAGAGGAGTTCTTCCAAGTTCATCTTTTTCATTGACATTTGCACCATGTGAAAGAAGAAGTTCGGCCATTTCCTTATTATTTCTATTCGCTGCATAGTGAAGAGCGGTTCTTCCATATTTATCTTTTTCATCGATATTCACGCCACGTGAAATAATAAATTCGGCTGTTTCTTTATTATTACGAAAGGCCACACAATGAAGAACGCTTTCTCCATCTTTATATTTTTCATTGATATTTGCTCCATGAGAAAGAAGGAATTCAGCCATTTCTTTATGATTATTAAAAACTGCACTATGAAGCGCCGTTTTTTCATTTTTATCTTTTCATTAATATTTGCACCAAACGAAAGCAGAATTTCGGCAATTTCTATATGATCATATTCTGCTGCAATTTGAAGAGCGTTTTTCCCATTATTATCTCTTTCATTGATATTTGCATTATGTGAAAGAAGATCTATGGCTATTTCTTTACAATTATATTTTGCTGCTAAATGAAGAGAAGTTTCTCCATGTGAATTTTTGTAATTGACATCTTCACAATTAGAAATAAGAAGTTTGGCTGTTTCTATACTATTATATATTGTTGCATTTTGAAGAGCGGTTTCTAATATTTTATAGCGGTTTATATCGGAACCAAAGCCAATTGAAAGGAAATACTTGCAAAGGGAAGGTATATCAAACATTGATGAATAAATTAAGCATTAGCTTACATCATGAGTTTTATCAAAATAAACTAATAATACATCAAGGTTATTATGATATCCGCATTCAGATATCAAGAGAATTAAATTGTACTCATTCATCAAGAATGTAACAAAATCAATGTTATGTGAAATAATTGCATATTTCATGCAAGAAAAATGTGGTTTTATATACTTTAAACATTCACTCATGATTTCTGGATTTCCACTCAAAAATGAAAATTCTAGACATTTTAGAATTATTTTTGAGTCGAATTTTGTTCGTAAAAACTTGAAACAATCAATTGCTCCGCGGTAACAACATAATTCAAGTAATGAATATTTTAAATTAGAATCCGGATATAAACTGCTTTTAAGTGTTTGATCTTTATTAAAGCCTCTTTTTTCAGTGAACGAGATGAATACTTCTTTGTCGTTATTCATTAATGCCTTGTAAATTGTATCTTTTGAATGAATATCGAGATTTTCAGATTCAAATTTTTGGAAATTACCAGACTTGTCTAATTTCATTCCATATTCTTTATAAAACAAAAAGTTTGAAATAGGTTCAACATTTTCTACCTCATTGACATGATAATCATCAGATATAAATTTGGCAAGAGATAAATATGATTTTGCATAGCCATTATTATACGGAATGATATTTAAAATGTCTCTTATTACATTTTTGGGAAGATGTTTCTTTGAATCAATCAATTCTGCTTTGATCATTTTGTAAATCGAGTTTAACTCTTCTATGTTTGCCGTTTTTAGCTGATACAACGCATTATACGAATCAATATAGTATTGGTAGGTACTACGAAATTCATCGTATTTATATTGGTAAAGTTTAACGTATCGATTGCACATTGCAAAATTTGAAAGTAGTTTTTTTTTCTTTTTATCAGGAAAAAAATTCTATATTAAACATGTGGAAAATTTATGTAAAAAAAATCTGACTAATGATAAATGTGGAGTCACTCCGAGGTGTTACCCCCTGCATTTTCTTTGAAATTTTTCTGTTCAAATCGAAAAAGTGACAATATTAATGATTTCCTTTTTCTTTTTTAATTCTCTCAGCACCGAACAAGATGGAATCTTCAAAAAAGTTTTTAATGATAAAATAATTATGATTGATGTCAGTGGATCATCAAAGCAGTACATAAATGGCTCCAAACAGTTAACAAAATCTGAATATGCAATTTACCCATGGGACAAAGTTTACGATTGGTGTTCTAATTGCGGTAATTCTAATGATGATCATCCATGGATCTCATTTTCTGTAAAAGCCAAGAAAATCAAATTCAATGGATATTTTATCCGTTGTGGTTGCTGCTACTATGATCTATGCTGCTGCGAGGATGAACAGCGCAGATGCTTTGAGTGCTGCTTATATTCATGGTCCCTTCAAATTTCAGATGATAATAAAACATGGAAAGAAGTTCACAAAATGAAAGATGAAGGTATGAGAAGATGCAACGAGAAAACCTACAAACTCGATCAAACGTACGAAGCCAGATACGTCCGACTTATTCAGAATGAAAATTGCCCAGGAGAACCTCCTTGCATAGCAATTAACAAATTCGAATTATACGGATCACTTGTAGGTGATGATGGCAGGTATGATGATGATAATTTCGTCTCATTCCATGATGATGACGATGATGTCAGTATAATTGGACACATATCTAAGAATGGAAACGTTAAATTAGAATAAAAATCTAACATTTAGTTATTTAATATAAATTTTTCATGGATTAAAGGAATTTATCTTATTTTGAACTTAAAATCCGTCAATACAATAGAAAACTGTTGCATAAACAAAATCTTGATGAAATATGATAAATCCTGAATCTTGTCATATGATATCATAAATATATGAATCTTTTGATAAAAAAAAATAAGTGATATATAAAATACTACTTTCACAAATACGATAAGGAATATAACAGCAAGATTTATTATTTCTCATATGGAAAATGCAAATGCTGACAAAAAATGTTTCACAATATGGAAATCATATAAGGACTTATAGTAATTTTCCAAGATAAAATGATTGATATGAATATTTGAAACAATACTCTCAAATATATGGCTAAACTAACCTCTATTTAGCTCAGAAAAATGTAAACTCTAATCCAAATTGTCACTTTTACGATCGCAAAGAATTCACACTATGAATTCATATGCATTCAATTTTTTTTGAAAGATACCCATTCAAAGTGCGAATAAAGAGTTTTTAGTCAATAAATCATTTTAATTAATGTCAATCCAGAGACGTTCAACTGTCGGAATGGAGACCATGTGGTTTAAGCCAAATGCAAATGTTATTGGTGCATGGCGTTGTAACAACAAAAATGACAGAGACTTTGTTATTGACAAATTATGCAAATCATTTGCAGGATTGCATACCCATTTCGATAACGGCGACTTTGTCTTCCAGAAAAGAGATGTTCCAGTATTCAAGATACCAGATGAAATTAAATCTCTTGAAGAAATGTAAGATTATGTTGACTTAAACTTTAACAGAAAACCAACAACGGCATTAGCAACTATTGCTGCATCAGAAGATTCAGTTGTGCTTATTGGTTGCCATTCTGTTTTAGATGGTGGTTCATTGGGCTATTTCAATAAACTTCTTGCCGAGAACGGAGACATACCAGAGATAGGATTGAATCCAAATACATTAGAACCATTCATGGAAAAGATCAAGGCAATAAATTATTATTTGCCATCAAGACCATGCGATGAAGATGCTGTCCGTTATGCTTCAAAGGATACACAGCGTTTGACAACTTCTCCTTGGATCCCAACAATGTATGAAGACCTCAAGAAAACAGATTTCAAGATTTACAATCAAAAGGATGATAAATTACATGGATTTACTGAATCTGTTCTTGCATCACAAATTCTTGCAATGTCTGCTTTCAATGGAAAGTTCGGTAAATCAGGTGTTTGGGAAGTTTTTGGAACCCGTCCTTATGCAGAGAAAGATTACAAACTCACACAAGGACAATTCTATTCCAGTTTCAATATTGTTCCTCAAAACGTTTCAGAAAACGACTCATTACAAACACTGATGAAGAAGATACGTGAAAACATGAACAGCCAAATAGAGAAAGGTGCTCCATGGACTTCATTGAGAGGATACATGAATAATCATTTCGCTGGAACAGTTCAAAAGGGCCAATTTACAATTCTTTCTTCCCTTGGCGAATTCAAGATGGGAGGACCAATCAAAGATTTCAGATTTAAGACAACAGGTAATGCTGACTTCGGTCCAAGCTTGAATCTCTTTACATTCAATGTGAAGTCAAGTAATGACAATAAGTATTACTTAGTTCATTCTCATTCTCCTCAATATTACAGCCACAGAGAGTCTAAAGCTTGGATTAAATCAATCAAACACTGCTTATCTAAGATTAACTTAAACACAAAGATTGCGGATGCTGTTTCAGAATTGATTGATGTTCAAAAGGATGTCTTTAAGGAACACGACCAATTACTCAAAGTTGTCAGATTTTAAAATTCTTTCTTTATAATTTTGCAATAATGTTACTTTTTTTTTCACATATTAAAGAAAATTCATATGATAACAATTGATATTAAATGATAGAAAATAAGTATACCATTGATACCAGAACCATCCTCAACAAAGATAATTTCTTCTTTTAGCACGATGATATTAGTATAATTGGACACATCTCTAAGAATGAAAGCGCTAAAATAGAATAAAAGTATAACAATTAAGATGTTTAGTATAAATTTTACATGAATTAAAGGATATTATCTTAAAATGAACGCCATTTAAAGATGTTATGAAAGACAGAAACTTTTTATCAGGAATTAGAGCTTCTAACAGTTAATTATTCAAGCAATATCATCAATAATTGAAAATTCATTTAAAACTAACAAAGTATGCGCGATATTGACTCATGCGATATGTGTTAGGCTATGAAATTAATTAGAAGCCAGAAATCAATGCTCAAGAACGTAATTTAATCTTTATATAAGACATGAAATCAAATTTTAACAACGATTTTACCAATGATTATTTTTGATTCAAATAATGATAGGCATTTTGATCTGAACTAAGAAAGCAATATCGAAGGGCATTTTTTTCAATATCTTCAAACTACTTCACGCCCCTCAAAAATGTTGGAAAAATTCTAAATCACAATTTTTTTTCCACTTCTTCAGAATCCCAAAATGAATGATTTTATCTCTAGTGTAATTGACTGCTTCAGGTCAATTACACGCCAAGTACCCAAGGATAAAGATCGCATCAGAATAGCTGTTGGAAAAAGCCTTGAATCAATAAATGATAATTCCATTTTGGAAATTCAACGATTCTATCCAATATTCGAAGAATTGATGTCATATATCCAGATTCTGCTCGATTACAAACCAAATCCATTCATTCCTGTCGATACACACATATCAAATATCTTTTCTTTCCTAGATTTAGCTAAATACATTATTGATCAAATGGTATTCATCGAAAATGAGCTTGACGTCATAGCATTACGTGTATTATTGCATTCCTGTTTATTCATCCAAAAAGATCCCTCGCGATCATACAATTTTCTTTATCATTCACCAGAATCACACGTAATTAACAGTTTTCCAGCCGTTTACGCATACAATTACGAGTATCGCGACAGAATTCTGATACCTCTTCTTCAAATCAACCAAACTCTCATCAAATACTTCATTTTCACAAGCGACGATGAATATCTACTTAAAGAGAATGCGCTTTGGTTCTCCAGTCAATACCATGGCTATGATATCTTGACAGATTTAAATTCATTTGTAGAATCTCGGTCGAAAAAGAAACAATGCATTGTTTTTCTATCAGTATTCGATACAGCCTCATTCTTAATGACCTTGAAGAACAAATCCTGCGTGAAAACAATGTTAGTTTATCATAGTACAAACTACAGAGACATAAAATACAAAAGTTTGATTGATCTCGCACGAAAAATTAATCATTTACAGTTTGTTCTTTCACTTCCTGATCAAACAAAGACAGATCTAAAGCGAGTAGACACACAAATGATGAATATCACGACATATACATTTAGAAGAGACTTAATTGAAGAATTAAGTGATGATTTAGAAGATGTCAACACAGGATTTCGATATGTTGTTTATTGTCAATCTTATTCAGAAGTTTTTTCTATTTCTGATCAATTAAGACTTCATAATTTTGAAGTTTTTAGTCCAGACATAGCTCTTCAAATGACAAACAATGATTTACTTCAATTTATCTTGTCATCATCATCACAATCCAAAGAATGTGATTGTTGTTGTTCTTCTTCATGTAGAGGATCCATTATTCCTTTGTTTTCTTCAAAACATGATCACATCAAATTATTTAATGAAAACAGAATGGACGGAATAACTTTTATTTTGTTTATTGTTGGAGAAATCGAATCTCATTTATACGATGTTACAATGGTTTTGGATGGAACAAAAACATCAAATATGATGCACAAACTCTTGAATATCCATGGTGATTATGAATGCGCTATCATTAAAGATACAAAAGAAAAAATGAAAGATTTACAAAATGAAGAATTCGAAAAAAATTGTTCAAAATTATTTGAATGACGAAAACTTTAAATTTAATGGTTTTGATTTTGATCATGTTTATTCTGACCAACCATTAGATGATTTCCTTCATTTCTTGGATGATCATTATCACAGTTTGTTTATACAAACAGATCAGACAGCAATTAAACCTCTTGTTTGTTTGGATTCCGATATTATAACTATTATTAATTGTTTGGAACAAATTTATAGTCAACCAATTGAGTTGAGATTAAGAAAGATTAATGATTTGGGAATGTCCGTAAGATGTTTTGTTCTTTTGGATTCTTTACTTGGTGAAAATGGAATACAAAACCTTGTTGCAATGAAAGAAAATTATAAATTAATTACAGACAAAATGAAAGAAATATTCCCAACAAATATAACAAAAGAAGTTAGAAGAATTGAAAGAAAATGTAAAACAATTGATGGTGAAGAAATGTTTATTTCACCTCGTCCTGGAATCGACAGTTTCATTTATCCTCCTGAATTTTGTTTCATTGGATCATTAAATGAAGTTTATTTCATTCATTCTCCAAAAGAAAACTTGTATGAATTCATTGATTGTCCAGGATCATTCATGCATCCTTTCTTTGTAAATCTTGTCTCTATTTATACTGATTCATCAGTTAATTTGATGAGTTACAACAACAAGATTTTAATTGAAGACAAAAAACAAAAAGCAAACATCGAAAAAATTGTTTCCGATGTTTCGAATTTGATGTTTTTCGTGTCCGATACAGTTTTAATTCTTGAAATTCTTAGTGGTTTCTCAATAGAAATCATTACAACTCCAACAGGCTATTTATCAAGAGTTTTGAACTCAAATTCATTGTTTGTTTACCATTTGGATAAAGAAGCAATGATGTATTGTTTGAATCACATGAATGATTTAAGGAGTGGAAACAAGAGTTTGAGAATTAGTTTCATTGACAACAGAAATCCTTATGTTTTAGTTTCTGATACTCAACTCAAAATTAAATCAAAAAGATTAACATTTGGAGCAAGTAAAGAAGTATCTTATGCATGCAATATTCGTACTTTGAATGAACTTGAAACTGTTAAGACAAACGATGAAGAAATCTTTGTCGACGAAGTTGCTTTTGTTCCTCCTGCAAGTGTATTCCATCCTTCTTTGTTCTATCATACTCCTGCAATTGAATTCTTGAGCCAATTCCTCGAGCAATTCGGAATTTCTTCTTTCCAAGTCAATAACAGTTTGTCAATGAGTTGGAAGCACGCACAGAAGGCAAGAGAAATTCTAAGCGATCCAAAGAATAATTTCGAAGTTTCTTTCAAGATATTAAGTTTATCAAGCGAAATTCCAATCCAAAATGTTGTTTCGCAAATCTTGGAACTCAAAAAGAATTGGACAATTGATAAGAAACGTCATGTCGTAATTGTTCCAAGTGATGAAGAAGAATTCGCGAAAACAGAACTGGCGGAATTCCTTTCTGAAGAAGAACCAGAAGTCTTTGGATGCGTTAACATGTGTGATAATCCAGTGAAAAGTCATTATGTTGTCACTATTTATGACTTAGAAAATAATACTTGCGAATCTAAACCATTGTGTTTGACTTGTTTTGAAGATGAATTGAATTTCAAATTCGAACAAAACAAAGGAAACACAATTTACACGACACAACCAGAGTTATTTGGCTTGGATGGATATTGTCCATTAGGTCAATTGATATATTCAATGAAGAATGATGCAAGAATCACTGATATTCTTAACAGATGGCTTAGATGCGTAATTATTTTTGTTCTTCATTCAGACAAAAACTCTTTCTTCTTCTGCCCTGAACATGAAGACATTGTTTGGATTAAGTCTCACTTCGATGAATGCTCAATCTGCCACAAAAGATTGTGCAAGACATGTGGAGCTCTTCATCCAAAAGGAACTCCATGTCCGAAGCAGATGAGCGAAGAGATCAAAGAATCAGATACATTGAAGAAATGTCCAAACTGCGGAAAGCTGATTTTCAAGTACACAGGATGTAATCACATGGCTTGCACATGCGGAAAACACTTCTGCTGGCATTGCAAAGCTTGCTACAACACATCAAGCGAATGCTACACTCATTTAGAGAAAGTTCATGGAGGTTACTACTAAAATAAAAAATTATATATATTTTATATTAATATAAATATCTTTGAGTTTGAAATTTCCCAAATATATTTCATGGAAATCTCTTTTCTCAATGATTTATAGAAAATCCAAGCAAAACAGTTATTGAAAGAATGAAAAAAAAGTCTAATAGATAAATATGGAGAAAGGTCACATTTATTCGTACATTTGTTTTGTATTTTGTCAATGGTGTAAGGATTGGCTGGTTCAATACGGATATGACCATGACCAAAATGGCCTTCTTCTGTTTGATTTGTCGGTGATAAAAATATTTTATCACCACCGAGAAGAATGACATTATACAACTCATATGATGCGAAACTACTTCCCCCACCTCCTCCTGACAGATCAGTCCCACCACCACCGCCATAATATCCTGCCCCACCACCTCCCGACGAGCCTCTAGCACTTGTATTTGAATTCCCACCCTTCAGGTATTTACCAGGTTCTGCAATGCTTGTTGGGTATTTTTTAGTACCGACATAAAAGCCGCCTTCTCCTGGGCGGGAAAATGTTGCTCCTTTTCCTCTAACTTTCTTAGCATCTGTTTCACTAATATTAAAGGCAGTTCCAATTGAATCACTGGCAAATGGGCCGCCGAAACTGCCAAAATACTCAATTTTATTGTATGATCCTGACCCACCTCCAGCACCCGATATTAGAAGAATTTTCATAGCATATGGGTCTTTACTAATAAATGTGGCTTCACCACCTATACACGATGTTAAATTATCAAGTCCAACCAAATTATTTCCGCCGCTAAATTTTGCTTTTGTTGACAAATTTTTTTTACTACAAAGTCCTTTTTGCCCAACAAAGTAATATAACGAAGTTCTTTTATTTTTCTCAAAATAAAACTAAATTGAAGCAGACAGAAAAATCCAAGTGGAATCATTTTATTCATGAATGAAAACATAATATAGAATGCAAAGTTAAAAGTACAATAACAGTTCTTACTAATAACACAAACAACCGTTGGACGATCAATAGTGTATGGGTCAGTAGGTTCAATCTTGATGTAACCATCACCTGAATGACCTTTTTCAACTGTCTCAAATGGTGAATTAAATGGTCTATCTCCACCAAGTAAAATTGCATTGTAGAGTTCGGGAGATGCATAACTACTTCCCCCTCCTCCACCAGCTAAATCAGCACCGCCACCACCGCCATAATATCCAGATCCTCCACCACCCGAAGATCCCCAAGCTGTAGAATTTGCATCACCGCCTTTCAGATATTGACCTGGACTTGCTTCTCCGTAAGTATAACCCTTAAGCACTGGTGTATAAGTTCCTCCATCTCCAGGGCCAGAATATGTAGCTCCTTTTCCTCTTACTTTTTTAACATCAGTGGCATCTATTCCCCATGCAGTTCCATAGCTGTCTCCTGCAAACGGGCCACCAAATCCACTGAGAAAACTATCAGTACCTGCTTGGCCCATTCCACCGCCAGCACCTGAAATGAGAAGGATTTTATTGGCAGCTTCATCACGACTGATGAAGGTTGCAGCACCACCTGTACATGAGCTATCACTGTGTTCTCCAATGCTGTTACTTCCACCGCCAAATTTTGAACTTAAAAGTTTTGATGATGAACAACTCCCTTGTGAACCAACAAAGTAGTAAAGAGTAACACTGCTGTCTGAAATGAAGATGCCTTCTGAATATGCACCTTTGCAACCGTCTTCATTATTTAGGATGCCACCTTGTGAACCCCAAATACGGAATAACCACTTCCCTGCTTCAAGTGTGAACTGAACAGGAGTATTAGAGACAATCAAATGTTTTGTTCATAATTTATCTTATTTGATTAACTCAAATGCGATTTTAAGGTTCCATAAAAATATAAAATCATAAAAAAAATCAGAACAATCCAAGAGGAATAATTTTATCAATAAAGGTAAAAACGATATAATATGCAAAGTTAAAATGACAATAACAGTATTTGCTAACATCACATATAACTTTTGGGCGATCAATGGTAAATGGATTAGTTGGTTCAATGATGATGTAGCCATCACCTGTATGACCGGTTTCAATAGACCCAGATGGAGATTTAAACGGTCTATCTCCACCGAGTAAAATTACGTTATAGAGATCAGGAGAAGCATAGCTACTTCCACCTCCTCCACCTGCTATATCAGCACCGCCACCGCCCCCATAATAACCAGATCCGCCGCCGCCTGAGGATCCCGCAGCAGAGGATTTCGCATCACCACCTTTCAAAAAATTTCCAGTTGTTGCATTGCATGCAGAATAAGTATTTGTCCCTGCGTAATATCCACCATCTCCTGGTCGAGAATAAGTAGCTCCTTTTCCTCTAGATAATATTGCTTTACTTACTTCAATCATACTTGCTTGCCCGTGACCATCACCCGCAAAAGGACCTCCAATGCCACCATAAAAAGTACTTGGTGAACCCATTCCTCCGCCGGCACCTGAAATTAGTAGGAGTTTGGTAGCCTCTTTATCGCGACTAATAAATGTTGCAGATCCACCTGTACATGATTTCCAATATTTGGAGCCAATGGCATTACTTCCTCCTTGAAATTTTGTTGTTAGAAGTTTTGAAGTGGAGCAACTTCCCTTGGAACCAACGAAGTAGTATAGTGTAACAGATGTTTCTGCAATGAATATGCCTTCAGAATATGCTCCCTTGCAACAATCTTGATTGGTAAGGATGCCACCTTGTGCACCCCAAATCCGAAATAACCATTTTCCATTTTCGAGTGTAAATGGTTTGGGATCATCAGATATTTGGGTAAATGTTTTGCTCATTTGACATTACCTGTAATATAGAAAGCACAAAAAATTGTGGAAACCTTAAAATATAAAAAATTGAGAATAAAGTCTAGATTTAAGGTTAATGTATTTAAAAACGACATTGTAACACTGTTTACCAACTATGATCGTGTCATTGTTGGTATGAGCTTAGGTCCTTTATCCACATACAATTCATCTCACTTTTCAATAAATTGTAGAAACATTTTAATTAGAGGTTAAGATAACAGCAATTCTCATATGAGATCAAACACATTATGTGTTATCTTTAATTTGTTATTACATTTCAATTTTAATATAGTTATCAGATGAATTATTTTCCAATTCAATAAAATCTTCACATTTTATTGGCAAAACGTATTTTCATGTTGGGATAAACTGAGCAGCCTTTGTGGCGGCTAAATGTTTCGTAGAATATCTCCTATCTTATGGATCATCATGTTTATTCTAACATTATATATGATTTTTTGAAAATCATATGATGTAGTATGGAAATTTTCAAAAGTGTACCTCATTTAAAGTATTTTGAAATTTCGATATTGTATTGTTTGCTCAGATTAGCTTTTCATTCAAGCCGTATATGAATTGTCAAGTATAATTTACTATTCACCTATTAGGAATTCATTTTTTCTCAATGAATTCAGATGGTATCAACACAAAGTTGGTCAACATTGAATTATATGAGAAAAAATATTCTCAAGAAACGAGCAACAAGAAAGTGTCATTATCTCCAACATCAGAAATCAATCTTTTCTGTAAGATAATGACGAAAAAGGCTGGATATCAAATAAAAACCCTAAAACAAGCACTAGAATTTATCGACAATTATATACCTGAAGAAAATAAACTTGATTCAACCCAATCTGACTCCTCAAATTCTGAAGAATTCGAAGATCAAATTCATCAATTAACAACTGACAATAACACTCTACGCAAAACAAATACAGATTTAGTTGTGCAAAAGGAATTGCTTGAGAAACGCGTTGCATCTTTACAATCCGAAGTTTTTAATTTACAAAAACAGGCATCAAGTTCAAATTCAAGTTCAAAGAAAGAAGAAATCATGTCTAATTATATAAATCAGCTGACAGATCAAATAAATACGCAAATTGAAGAAATTTCAAAAATAACGAACCAAAGAAATTCACTTGTGAAGCTATTACAACGGCAAAATCAGATTATTGAGAAAATATTTGATACAAAAGTTCCAGTAATACAAGTTGTACATAAAGAAGAACCAAAACCAACAGTAAATGAAATAAAATCTGATGATAATCACTTTATTTTGGCCAAAATTAGCAATAACATATTAAAATCTTTACCATATTTGTCTACTGATATCACAAAGATTACAGATCTCTCAAATAAATCAGTAATTGAAAGAATTTTGTTGATGATTTCGACTTTGATTGAGAAAATCAAGGATTCTGAGAAAGATAATGACAAAATCAATGAATTGAATGAAGAATTGGCCAAAGAAAAGCAGAAATCATTTAGAATTTTAACAGTTTTGGAAGAAGAAATGAAATTTTTGATAACTACAAGCGGATCTGAAGCATTGCAGAAGGCCCTTTTCTTTGAGAAACCATATACAGGACCAGTCATGGTTGACAACAGCTGCAGAAAGGAAATTTTGAGGAGATCTACAAATGTTGCAAAATTTATTGAGAGAAACAACATAAAAATAGACGAAAATGAGATAATTACTGATGAAACAATGGATTATACTACACAGATCTTTAAGTTATTCTCACCTAAAACGCTTCAAGAACAAATTAATAATTTTATGATTAGAGAAGAGAAGCCTGATGACAATACAAGAGAGTTATTTTGTCTTTATACAGCATCTGTTGTTATGGGAAACGTTCTTCTTTCGTTTACAACTGAAGAACAACAGAGAAATGCAATAATGAGGAAAGAAATTCTGAATTTAAGGGAAGAAATGGATAAAAGCGTATTAGAATACAACCAGTTAAAGACTTTCAATAAATCAGTCATCAAATCAATTTCAAAACTTCCAACTTTTGACAAAAATTTGACAATTTCAGAAAATGTCAGAAAAATTTCTTTGGTTTATCAAGAAAATGAAATCAATAAAAGTGAGATACAAAGTCTCAAAGAAGAGAACGCACAGTCAGCATTAAATATTGCTGATCTAAATAAACAAGTTAAAGCTGTTTCAAACGAAAAAGTTGAAATTGAAATTTCATTCCAAAATAAATTAAACGAAATCAATGAGAAACTATCGAATACTGAAACAGAACTGAAAGAAAAGCAGTTACAAGTTCAAGAATTCTCAAGAAATGTTGAAAATCTTGAAAAAGTAAGAGATACTCAAAATGAAATCATTGAACAGAAAAGAAACAAGCTTGCTGACTTAGAAATTGAATTAGAACAACTGAAAGTTGATCTGACTAACTTAAATGCTGATTTAAAGAAAGAAAAAACAGATAATGAAAATTTATTAAATGAAAATAGTGAGATGAAGCAAAAAAGCGAATTGCAAAACACTGATATTGCTGAACTTAAAACAAATTTGTTGCAATTAAAGCTTGAAAACGAAAAATCTCAAAAATATATTCAAAATCAATGTAAAACATATTCAATTGCTACAAATACTAGTGAAAGCAATCAGATGCAGCCTGTTTTTGATAAACTTAATGAATATGAGCAAGAATTATCCCAAAGATTAGAAACAATTGTTGAATTAGAACAAAAAGTGACAAATTATCAAAGTGAAGTGAAATTTTTGAAGGAAAAAGAAGAAGAATTGAAAGTAAAAATTGACGAAAATGAGAAACTGAAAGCTGCTGCAGGTGAAATAGCGTGTGAAGCAAAGAACGCCATGCAATGGAGACTGTGGGCAAATAGACTTCTTTCTATCTTTGATCAAGATGCACCAAATGATAAAGAACTTAGACTAGCAATTGAGCAGCATGCTTTGGAGCCATCTGTTCCTGGATTAACTAAGCAGAAAATCCAAATTTTGAGATTGCAAAAAAGAATTTTGTCATCTCATGAAAAATTGAAGTTGATAAGATCCAACACTCCTATGAAAATGCGATCTATTGCTATTGCTACTCATTTTTGTACTTATTTATCTAATACTGTATGTAATGAATCAAAATGATCTTTTTTTATATTATTTGTTGTTTTATAATAAAAGTCATATGAATGTTATATTATTATGTAAAATCATTCCAGCATTTTTAGTTATCAAATCTCATAAGAGTTCCGAGCGGCAATATCAATAAGGCTGAGTGGATTCAACAAGCTTTTAGATGACATCTTTTACAAATAAAATTTTTATTTATACTTTTTTGCACTGATGAGATTTTTGTAAATGGGATATACAATTTATATCTTATATGTTAGTTTGGCATAACTACCATGAGTTATCTATATGTATTATATTTACTATTAGGTTTGAAAATAATGTTTATTATTAAACAAAGCTATCGATCTATTTTCTGATAAACTATTAAGGACGTACGATGAAGTGACTACAGCTGCCCAAGTTGGGCTTTATTTGAGTATCACCGATCCTAAAACGCTTCATGATAATATTATTTACATTAATCACTGAAAGCCACACAATGTCGAAAAAATATCAAGGCAATATCTTATCGGATCAACAGTCTATATCGTCAGGTTATAAACATACAATTTACACATCTTATTAATATTCTTTAGAACAATTCATCATTAAGTTTCAGAAATATGGAATCGAGTAAAAACTTGAATAATTTATTTAATTTTCCAATTTTTTCAAATTACATATGCATATAAACATAATTTATGCAAAATATGTACAAAAAAGCGAAAATAAAACATATACAAACCGATATATTAGGGCTGTACAAAATCGAGAAAAACATTGCCGTGCGGTAATATAGGGTCAAAAAAATCGCGCCTCGGCGGCTCCGCCGCCTCGGCACTATTAAGTGCGCATTATATTTAATATGTCCTTCTTTTTTTTCTTTTTCTTCTTCTTCTTTTCCTTTCCTTCTTCCTCTCCTTCCTCTTCTTTCCTTCTCCTTCTCTTTTTACAACAACGTCGAAGATCTTCGAATTTGATTGTTGGAAAAGCATCTATTTCAGATAAAGGATGCCTTTCTCACAGTCAACATACGAGGGTCCTGGCTGAAACGTTCTCAAAAAGCCTGAGATGGTAATTCTCTGATCACTCATAGCTGGGCAGGTAGTCATTGCTGACAATACCTGTCTTTATGCATGCACGCTTTCATGTATATGGGTTTACACTATCAATTCGCAAAGTTGTTCCGAATTCTTCCAAAATGGAAGGACCCGAAACAACTTTGCTTGTTAACGATACAGACGCATTACTTTGCATTGATACTGTGCTGAGTTGTGTAGAAAGTTTGATTAGAGTTGTTTTGTTCTGGTATCTCTCATCTTCTGATGAGAGAAATCAAAGCAACACAACTCTAATGAGTTTGTTTTCACTCATTTGTATGTAGGTTTTTAGTTCGATTGGAGCTGCTTCATAATGAGATCTCTCATCAATTGATGAGGGAGATCATAACAAAGCAGCTCCAATGTATATGCTCGTATTAACCGGGTTGTAATGCGTTGTAACGTCAGCTTGTAGTTCGTTTGGGGTCACTTCACATTGAGATGAGAAGAAATGATTAAAGGACTCTGAAAGGCTTTGGCCGTTGATGTTGTAATCGCATTACTTGGAACTAGCTGGATGCTAAGCTGTGTAGAATGTTCGATTAGAGCTGTTTTGATATGATTTTTCTCATCATAAGATTGGAGGAATCATAGCAAAACAACTCTAATGGGTTTACCATCATCTACTTGTATGTAGATGTTTGGGAAATTGTCTTGTTAATCGATTTTCGAGATGACTTTCAAATGCTATAATCAAATGACAAACAAGTCTAAGATTTCTCGACAATACATCAAATCATGATGTTTGTAAGTGCGATGAGATTAGAGTTTTTGAAGGAATGACAAGAGAAGTAGGGAAGCTCGGCATTCGCCGAGCAAATTAAAAATTAACGTATGGATTAAATTTTAAGAGGAATTCAATTTTAATTACGGGTTGTTCAAATATTGATTAATATAAATTTATTAATAAGAATAAACAATTTTTGTTTTTGAATTTATTCAATTTATAGCTTTACATATAGTTTCAAAATTGTACAACTATGATTATTTCAACAAAAAAATATCTTACTTTTTCACTTCACTTTCACCCTCACTTTTTCCGTAATTCAAATTTCAACATTATGTATTTTAATTCCTTATAGTATTTTTAACATAATTAATCAAATAATAATTGGAAGTTCTGAACTCACTTTTTCCGTAATTCAAAATCAAAAATATGAATAATATATCTATTTATTATATACTAATGCTATTTTCAACTAGAAGTGAGGTACGGTAATCTTACGGATTCCCGTAACTCAATTTTACGGAAAAAGTGCAGTAAACTACTCAATTTACGGAAAAAGTGTCGTAAACTATTGATGTGGCGGTAAAATCACGGTAATTCACGGAAAGTTATATGCGAAAATTTGAAATTATACAAAATCGAGCGAAACACTTTTAAATAGGTTGTTCTCGTATTTAAAATACTATTCCCAGATTTATTGTCGTCAGAATATTTCCAAATTTTTGCCGATTTACAAAAAATGATTTACAAATTCCTAAAAAAAGGAACCGGTGTGCGGAAACCTCGGTAAATTACCGCGGTTCCCGTTGGGACTGCCATACGATATATTAAGGAAATGCTTGAATTGCCTCGATTTGAAAAGTTTACCAAAAGCAAACATGATTCATCTTATATACTAAGCAATTCTTGCTTGATATTATGGAGTACTTTTATTAGCAGAACATTAAATGAGCAACTAAAGTTCGAATAAATTTAATATATTCAGGATTAAATGTATCATTATCTTCATCATTATTAACTATATAAATTCGATTTTCACATTTAGATGTAGATAAATGAGATAAATATAGATATTTTTCTTCATATTTGATATTTTCAGTAGTAATACCATATGTTATATAACCTTTACTCTGAACATAACGATTTTTAATTGTAAATGAATCTGCTGCATAATTATCATAAAGCATTAATCCTCGTAGACAGTCATTTCCAAATATAGAACAGTTTTCAATTGTTATATTTCCATTACAAGAAATTATTCCAGAATCTCTCGTGCTCATTGTGTTATTCAAAATGTTGCAAAAAGAAACTAAATAAGTATATCCAGACATATGAGCTATTACCCCACTATAAGGTTTGGCGGTTGTATTTTCAATTGTACATAATGAAACTTTTCCTGAACTTCCAAGAATATAACCTGAGTCACTACTTGCTATATATTGACTGATATTTGTTGATCTAATGGAAACATTTCCGTTGGATGCACGTATTGTGTTCTGTGATTTTTCGTTTCCACAAAGACAAATAGATGAATCATAGACAAAATTTAGTTTGGTTGTATCTATACAATCTGTATAGGAATGATGTCCTCCTCTGAAATTACTTGCAGTTGTTTGTGAAGATAAAGAACAAATTTTGTGTTGTACAAAAGAACTTCTGCAGCTAAAATAAACACTGCCGCCATTACTTGTACTTGTATTGTTATTAAAGTTGCATTCCGAATGTAATACTTTGATGCTGTCAGATGAATATTTGATTGCACCTTCTTTGAAGTCAAAGAAGAAACTGAGTAAGACAAAACATTCTTGATTGTTGATAGGTACTGAGCAATTGATGCATGTGACTGGATCTGGCTGATTCTCTGTTTGGTAAAAATAAGTCCAAGAATCAAATGGAACAACATACCTCTAGATTTTATCTCATAATTTTGTAAACTATTCAACTTTGGTATTTTTATAAATTGAAAAATTGGTAAATATTGAAAATCGAAAGCTATAGATATGACGATTATTTTTCAAAAAAATCTTGAGTATATAGAGAGCGTCATATAAATAGTTCTAGATGAATACTTAAATGAAACTATTAATGGGCAATTTGTATAATAGAAACAGTAAGTAATAGTACCTAAGAAAAGAAAAGGAAAGCAAGATATTGTTAAATTAAATTTATATTTATTTAATAATTTTTCATACGATTTGCTAACCAAGGTGAGTTAGTATATGTTTGTTCGGTACCAAGGGTCTGTACCAATTGGTACGCAAACAAACATTTTCTGACACTTTGTAGCCTCCAATCATTAGTAGAAATGGGAGAAACTTTGTCCGAATAACTTATCATTTGGACAAAGTTTCTCCCAACAATTTAGCCAATGATTATTATATTTCAATGATTTAATCAGCTCTCTCCCTGACTTTTTCAGTAAGATCAAGATGTCCAAGCAAAAACAGATATATGGATGGAATTGTTGCATGCGAAAGACTAAATTATGTTTAGTCCCACACATGCAACAATTATCACCTAAGATTGGAGGAACCTTCAGTTAATCTGTTGAAAATTAGATTAATTTTATTGATTTATAAGAATAATTGGAGTATGTGAGGTACATGCTCCTGATAATTACTTCACATGCTTCTATTATTTTTATAAAATGCCATACATTTGGGTTATTTCTTTCAGATTAACCCGAAGTTTGCTAGTTTCAGCATGAAAATGAACGGGTAAGGGCTATATACCAATGTGTAGCCCTCACCCATGTATTTTCAATAGAAATTGGAGAAACTTTGTCCGAATGATAAGTTATTAGGACAAAGTTTCTCCTATTCCTACTAGTAATACGAGCCTAAGATGTACTGACTCCTGATCAGTACCTCTCTGACTTTTATTAAAAAAATAAAGTTCTGCAATTTGTTTCTGAATTAGGAACTTTGACAGACAAGAGTGTATTATGCACTCTTGTCGGATGTTATGTGTCATTTCTGTAAACATTGCCTCTGCATGTATTCCACAGCATATTCCACATTCATAACTTACAATTTGCATTTGACTGTTTCGATTATTTAGGTCACAATAAAATATTAAAGGTAAATCCAAAAGAATGCAGTGCTACAGCTGCTAAATTCTCTGAAACTTTTAGGAAGTGATAAATAAAAGCAAACTCAAGACGGAAGTGCTCATCATACACAAAGTCTAGACAGGGATGATCAACATATTGATGCTCAGAATACTAGCACAGGTAAAGAACTTTCCGAACATTTTTGGAAAATGATCGAAAATTTCCTTGTCTAGTGTCAAAATTCTGAGTATAAATTTAGCTCTGTAATAAACAGAAATTCATCAAAAGTGACATCTCTCAATTTTTTGACATTTGTAAATTCTAAATTGAATGAGAAAAATGAAATAATACTAAGCATAATACAATATTCTAGATTTAATTATAATTAGGGAAAAGTTAGTTTTGAGAGTACTTTTCATAGGCATATAGAATGAAATCTTCTGAAAAATAATATCACATAAACTCATATTATTTTCTAATATATAACTATTTTATATAAAAATCAAATTCAATGATCTTAAAAGCGAATGATAAACCTCAAAATTTACGAATATAATGAGTGGGAATATAATGCTTATCTATCATAAAACCATATGAAATATCAATTTTTGCTTTACGCCTAATTTTTGACGACAATTAGCAAAAAATGTTAAATGTTAACACTCAGTCCATTTGAATATGAAAAATAAAATTGACTTTGATTAAATGTTTTTATTTATCATGCAATTCTTCTTGCGACCAAAGATTTGAATAAAATTTCAAAAAATAAGATAGCTTAAAAAATAATATACGGTAGTGTTTACTAATAGATGAATAGTATATAAATTCTATTAAAATGGATTTGATCCAAAAAAATATATAAAATTTGATCATAAATAAAATCGTTTTAAATTACTTCTTCATTTAAATTATAACAATTATTTTTGATTTTATATTTTTTTGGATCAAATCCATTTTAATAGAATTTATATACTATTCATCTATTAGTAAACACTAGGCAAACCCAAATTTTAGCTAAAAGTGACAGGGGAAAAACGTTTAGTATTAAAAAAAAAGACCGATGAGAGCTTCGTTCGAAATATAGAGGGAACTGAGAATGCGCAACCATTCTCAGGGAATATTGGATGCTATTCCCGTTCCCTCTGTATGGAAAATTGAGGTTTTCAAAGGGAGTTAAAATAATATCAAATTTTACTAATTTACATCAAAATACAAAAGTATTTGACAGCTAAAATTAGTTACTTTAGCAAGCCTATCAATACCCTTTTACGATTATTGTTACTTTTTCGAAATAAAAGTAAAAACAAATTTATACTAATTTACTTCAAAATACAAAAGTATTTGACAGCTAAAATTAGTTACTTTAGCAAGCCTATCAATACCCTTTTACGATTATTGTTACTTTTTCGAAATAAAAGTAAAAACAAATTTATACTAATTTACTTCAAAATACAAAAGTATTTGACAGCTAAAATTAGTTACTTTAGCAAGCCTATCAATACCCTTTTACGATTATTGCTACTTTTTCGAAATAAAATAAATTTATTATCAAAAACCTTTTTTTTCTTAGTAAAAATAAACGAAATTTTTTACCTTATGAACTTTTGATGGAAATATGCAAATTTAAAATAATAAAGAAAGCCGCGAGCGAAGCGATCGGCTTAGTTCGAAGATTTTGATTCAAATCTTTGCTGATCTGTAATTCGCGGAAGCCGCGAGCGAATCGAGCGGCTTAGGTCTAAGATTTTGATTCAAATCTTTGCTTATATTCCTTAAATTCTTTATGAAACTCGCAACAGTTCCATAAAAAATTTTAAATTCTAAACTGTCGAAATTACCGATCGGTAATCACACTCTTCACGGGTGTGTCACTTTTAGCTAAAATTACCCCTACTCGTAAACACTACCGTATATTATTTTTTAAGCTATCTTATTTTTTGAAATTTTATTCAAATCTTTGGTCGCAAGAAGAATTGCATGATAAATAAAAACATTTAATCAAAGTCAATTTTATTTTTCATATTCAAATGGACTGAGTGTTAACATTTAACATTTTTTGCTAATTGTCGTCAAAAATTAGGCGTAAAGCAAAAATTGATATTTCATATGGTTTTATGATAGATAAGCATTATATTCCCACTCATTATATTCGTAAATTTTGAGGTTTATCATTCGCTTTTAAGATCATTGAATTTGATTTTTATATAAAATAGTTATATATTAGAAAATAATATGAGTTTATGTGATATTATTTTTCAGAAGATTTTGTGTTCTTCTTCAAAATTTTATTTTTTATTAAAAAGAATCTTTACAAAATATACATTTACTTTAATTAATATTTAAAAACATGCTCTATCAAAAGTTCCAAAAATTCAATATTTTAGCTTTTCTGAGGTGTCACTTTTGATGAATTTCTGTTTACAACAGCTCTACCAAATATTGTAATTTCGGAATATAAAATGTTATTTGATCTAAATAAAAGTGACTTTACATATTTTTTTTTGAAATTGAAAAAAACATTTCGATTTTTCATGCATAGTCAGACAGCGATATACGCGTCTGTTGCATGCATCATGGGTGGCAGTTTCATATTTGGCAACTCCATCGCTTTTTCGGCTCTTACTATGCCCGGAATTATTAAATATTTCGAATTAAAAGAAATCGAAGCAACATTATTCAGTTCGTTAATTGCTCTTTTCGCAATTGCAGGTCCTTTAATATTCCAACCATTTATGGTAATGAAAGGAAGAAAGTTTACATTTTGCCTAATTACTATTCTTTCCCTTATCTCATGGCTATTATTCTCTATCGTCACGCCTTCGACCAAATATCTGATATTTATTCATAGAATATCAATAGGAATTGCCGTAGGAGCTTATTCTTTTGCAAATCCAGTTTATTTAGTCGAACTCGCAAATGATCACCAAAAAGGTCTTTTCGGTACTTTGAACCAACTCGGTATTTCTGCCGGAGTTGTTTCAGCAAATATCCTTGGAGGCCTTCTTTATTGGCGATATTTTGCAATACTAGTACTTATACTTACAATTTGCATTTGCCTGTTTTCATTTATAATTGCTGATACTACACCTGCTCCAGCTAACGAGAAAAATTCAGGAAACGGAAGTTATTCTTCATTATTCTCGAATTACAAATTAGAGCTTTTAGAAGGCGTCATGTATCAGATATTCCAACAGTTCTCAGGTATAAACGGTATTCTTACTAACGCAGGAATGCTTCTGAATGGAAGTACGACAGCTGCAACATTTGGAGCTTCTGCTCAACTCATAGCCGTCTTCTTCTGTTCTTCAGCGATTTCTTACCTTGGTACAAAAAAGATTTGGATAATCGCATGCTCTGGTGCTGCATTATCCTTATTAATTTTAGCCGTGTCACAGACATTCGATTTAGGCCTTATCGTTAACGGTATTGCAGTGTTCGGATTCCAATTATCCTTTGGTTTCGGATTAGGACCTCTTCCATTTACGATTTCTCCTACATTATTCCCTGATTCTGTCAGAGCTCAGGCTAATTCCATTCTCACCTTGGTTAACTGGCTCTTGGCCTTCATTGTTATATCCATTTTCCCTTCAATGCTCAACTATTGCGGATTGGGAATTTCTTCAATGATGTTCGCTGGTGTTATGGTGGCAGGAATTATATTTGGCCTCAAACAAAGCGATATCAGAGATCAGAACTCCGAACCATTCGAAGCTGACGTAGAATTAAATAATGAAGAAGATAATATTGATCACGAGCTATAATTTTGTTATTGTATAAAGATTGAATTAAAACCATATCTTTTACCTTTCAATTTTAGAAATTTTTTTTTGTAATACAGTAATCGTAAAAGAATTTTCAATGGAATATATGTGTTTATAAGTTTTATCTTCCAGTTTTAGTTGGATTTCGAGAAACCATTTGAAATTTTTCAACAAAGGAGCGATACTCATAAACACAGGCGATCGAATGCTTACACATTTTTAGTAACTAGGAATCCATTTATTTCATAATGATATTTCTACATTTGATCGGTAATTCGAGTCATTGAATGATTAAATGTAAGGAATAAACGTGTTAATGTATGAGCATTTTGATTGTATTTCCTATGGAGATTGCATTTCCACAATGTAGAGGTAGTTGCATTTATTTGGAGAAATTTGATCTAAAATTTGAATGTCGTTTCTTTTTCAGGAGGAAGTGCCTCTAAAGGTAAAATTTCAGTTGTCTACTACTGTAGAGAGGAATGATAAGCGGTTGTATGCGCTTTGGGCTATCATTTCTTTCATTACAATAGTAATCTCGACTCAATTTACGATGATGACTAAACAAAACGCAGATGAAGTCCATTACATCGAAGGTGTTTCATCGTTTAGTGAATCAAATGATTATAACTGCATATTTTTCCTTACAAAACAAACTTCGAAAGCAAAAAGATTAGCTATCTACTTAAATGTTTACGATTCGAATAATTCAGTTGATCCATATGATGAGTATTTCGCTTTAGAGTCTGTTATTGATGTAAGTATCGGAAATACGAAAACTAGAATCCATAGATCTTATTCTTCTATACCATATGGCCGAACAGAGTTAATGACTACCACGGGAAATAACATTTCTCACGTAATCGGACAGATTTTTCTTACAGGAAGATTCAGAAACACAACAAAAATACAAATTATCGAAATTCATAACAGTATTCGTTTTGAACGTCTTTCATATATAATTTCCAAAGCATTTAGCTTTGAATGTTCCATAGTTTTATTCCTTTTCGCTTTTTTATTAGCAAATAATTACAGCCCAATAGAGCCTACGCAAATTCTTGCGTTACTACTCATCGCATCTACGACAATACTACTCCTTTTGTTCAATAATTATCACACAGCTTTCATGCATGCAGTAGAATTATTTTTCAAGGGAGAAACTCAGTCGCTAACATATTTGACATTATTTGCGATATCTACAACATACATTCCGAGCTCAAAAACGATTCCAAGTTTGATTATTGGAGTTATTTTTATTATATCCGACGGAATCTTTTTATTGACATCAGATTCCTTAGTACTAGCCAGATTGTTTGATAGTAACTATGCGATCTGGATGTTTTTCTTTGCTGCATCTATTGTTTTTAAGATAACAATGCTAACAATGACGATGCACCATCTTATTTTTGCCTATTTCCAGGCGTCTACCTCTCAGAAAACCAATATATTTATTACTATTGTAATTCTTATCATTGTTGCCCTTCCAAAAATGATTTCCATCGCGTATGTCGCCAATGAGAACTTGTCTGTTAGTTCAATATCATTCCTCTCTGACTATATTATACAGGCTGTCGGAGCAATTTTGATTATCGGAATTGTTTGGCCGACAATTGATTTTGACGCGAGCAGTGGAGCAACAATTAAGAGAGCGAAGAGTCAGGAAGACCTTGTTGAGTTGTTTGGTTCTTCCCAATTATTAGATTTATAATTTTTTTGTTTGTATTATTTTTATAAAGTATGTTTTTATCCATTTATATAATGAAATATGTATTAAATTTTTCTATAACACAGATTTTTAACAGATAGAGTTTGAATATATGTTAATATTTGTTTTTCATAAAGCTAAATCGATGGTTCGTGTAATGAGAGCATAAGAATTTCTATAATTTTCACATATTAATACTATAAACTATACATTGCCATTTTATGTTCTTTCGATGAATTAATAAATTTAAAGTTCAAAGAGTTGAAAAGTGGAGATTTCATGAACTGACTTTACTAGTGCTCTAGAACTTGATTCCAAAATACGAAGATCAAAAACTGGCAAATTTGACAATGACAGCAAGGATTTCGAAAATAAAAGCACTTTTCATTCAATTCAAATGTGACATTTTATTATTGTCTAATTTTTTGATATTTTGTTTCTTTGGTATGTGTGAGACAATTTGTTTTTTCAATAGTTAATTGAATTGGTTTTATCAATTATAAAATCCGTAAGTTTTTCAAGATAAAAAAATGAGCAATGATTCTATCAAATGGTGGAATGATTTTATAGGAGTACAAGCTGATGATGTCATTCCATTAAAACCTTCCGTAATTGAATTGCAACAAATACTCTTTCAAAAATCTCCAGTTATAACAAATGGAATCGAAAATCCTTCAGACAATGATACGTATTGGGATGATTTGCATAAATTCATTATGAAACTTGCAGATGATCAAAGTATTTCTCATCCAATTTCTGATTTTACGTCATTTGTTTCATCATTACACAAGATTTCAAGTTTACTCAAGATTACGAATGTTAAAGATGCAATACTACTCGCGAAAAGGCTGTGTCCCAAAGAACCAGCAGACTTTTTCTTTAATACATTCCTTTTCATGGTATCAGATCCTCTTTTAGCGATCAATGTCATGTTCTATATGAACGCGGAGAATATTGAACCATGGACATCACAAATTCGATATCCGGGTCAATTTGAAAAATTTTTTGATTTATTCGTTACGTATTTACAGCCAACAGGTTCACAATACGACGACAACTATATCCAGTTCCGAATCATCCTCTCTGATATGATTGTTTCCCTTCTTTGCGATCCAAACATTGATTTTCTTATGAAAGAAAGATATATTGAGAACACATTTGTCCGATTGCTGAACCTTGTTAGTTACACAACTTCTGATGCTAATACAGTATTCTGCCGACTGATCATCAAGTTGTTTGATTACTACGTAACAATTCACACTCGAATTGAAGACGACATTCTTGTGATGATCCAAAGTATTTATACATCATCGCCACCGAGTAAATCATCGCGTAACATGACGACAGAGTACATTTACAGTTTATGTTCTCGAGGAACTATCACACATCGTGAAGCTGCAATCATTTTAACAGTTGGAAACATGTCTATTTTCGATATCAAAATTCTTTATTACATCGGTCTTGACAACATTGAAGCTCGTTCTCTTGTTATCAAATATCTTTGTGAGAAGTTTGTTAATAGTAAGATTGATTGTTATGCTATTGGACCACTTATCTCAGACTTGCTTCGAAGAGAAAGAGATAAAGATATCAATGAATTTTTCAAAGAATTCATCACAAAACTATTTGTTAAGATCTCTGTTTGTGGTCGCAAATCAAAGTACGTTCGCCGTGTTTTATCTATTTGTAGTCTTCTTTCAACATATTTCCATGATTTGGATGACATTTGGACACACATTGAGTCCAGTGCTAATTCAGCATTTCTTACAGGTAAATCTGATTTTCTACGTGATTATTTCAAAGTCGGAAAGACAGAAAAAACTAATGAATCATTTAGCAAAGAACTTAGTCTTTTTGAGAAAGTTCGTCCTCTTCTTAAAACTTATCCATTCAGGCAAGGAAATCACAAACTTTATGAACTTGACCAAAATGATGGAAAAGTTCGTCCATCAAAGAAACAGTCTAAATCTACAATTAAAGAACTCAAAGAAATGGGTATTCCTGATCATCTTATTAAGTTCTTCCATATCACAGAACAAGTCAGTGCTATTTCACAGATGGCATCTATATTCGAAATAGAAGATTTCATTGACAATAAAAGAGACGAAGTATCACAAATCAAAGTTCGTATGAAACGTCCTAAACTTGCTAAATTCAACATGGACTCATACGAACTTGAAGGTCGAATGCCTATTGTTGGACAAGTTACAATGATGGCGCGAAACAGAGAGAAGATTTATCGATTTCAAATTGATACAATCAATAAAGTCATAAATCTTGCAGTTGAAGTTATTGTTACTCTTAAGACATATGATGGTATCATTGGTGATGTTTACACACTTTCATCTGAGTTAACAAACCTCGGAAAGTTCGACAACAAATACAAGTTGCTTAAAGAAAGAAAAGTACTACTTCGAAAGAGATGTGAATACATTCAGAACAAATACAGATGTAAGAATTACAAAGCAGAACTTGTTCAAGTTTTCTTCAAACAACAACTATCATTCCATGAAGATGTCCAATACTCATCTCCATCATCATTCGACACTCTTGTTCGTGAAGTTTTATCACGAAGTTCGCACTTCAAAGAAAGATTCAAAACAGTATCAAGTGAAGTTGAAAACAAAAGTGCAGAAGATATTGTTTTGTGTGCACAATCATTTATTGATGACATTGCAAACTATTTGTCTCTTAAACGAGACAGTAACCTCCAAGTTCTTGATGTTGTTCTAATTCGACTGTTTTTCGAGAACAGTTACTACATGAACAAACGTGCACAACTTGCAAACTACCAAGAATACAACAAAACATTCATTGTTCGCTCGTACAAACTTTCAGTTCAACCTATCGAATCTCTTGGAATTTCAACAAAGTTCATTGGGAAACGTCGAGGCATGCGTATCTGTGACTTCTTCCGTCATTCAGAAGAACGATTTCCATCAGTTGAATCCATCTCTGACAAACTCTGTCCTCTCGACATCAACAGTCTCCTTTATCGCGTGAAGAAAGAACTTGAGAAAAGAGTTGACCAAAGTGATATTGAACCTATCTTCCTTGGTCTTCTTGTCACATCTCCTCCGAACAACGCTATCAGTGCTGCTCTTTCTCTCGAAAAGTTCGGTGTTATCAACAACTCAACACTTTTTGCTGATGCACGACAACTATACATCAACTGTGTTAACATGGTATTTCGATTGAGTAATGTTAAACAAGTTTAGTTTCTAAATAAATAAAAAATTGTTTTGTACTTTACCTCTATGATTTTCAAAAAATTAAATGAAATGAGGAGATATAATAATTTGTGTCTCATAATGATATAATAATATACTAATTATGTTATTATATACCAAAGTTCATCTTATTAAAAAAAAAATTAATTATAAACAAAACAGTATAATATTATATATTAAGCATTGTTTGATTGATACTATGATTGTTTATTAGGAGATGATAAAGGAACTATTAAAGATCGAATAAATTTAATATATTCTGGATCAAATGTGTCATCTTCTTCTTTTATTATTTTATTTTCACCATTATTAACCATAGGAATTAAAGCTTCGCAATTAGATGTAGATAAATGAGATAAATTTAAATATTTTTCTTCTGTTTTGATATTATCCATAGTAATATCATTTGGAATAGATGGAGTACTCTGAACATAACAATTTTTAACTGTAAATGATGATCCATCATTGTAAAAAAGATTAAATCCTGATGGACCATCATTTCCAAATATAGAACAGTTTTCAATTGTTATAATTCCAACACAACAAATTATTCCATAAGATGTTGTACTCACTTTGTTTTTCAAAATGTTGCAAAAAGAAACAAAATATGTTTTCTCGTTCACATGAGCTAACAACTGAGATTCAGGGTTGCATGTTGTATTTTCAATTGTACAAAATGAAACTGATGCTGAATCATAAAGTGCATAACCTGAGGAATAACTTGCTATGCATTGACTGATATTCGATGATCGAATAGAAACATTTCCATATATTACAGATATTGTTGATATTAGTTTTTCGTTTCCACAAAGACAAATTGATGAATCATAGACAAAATTTAGTTTGGTTGAATCTTCACAATCTGAATAGGAGTGATGACCACCGCAATCACCTGCAGTTGTTTGTGAAGATAAGGAACAAATTTTGTGTTGAACAAAAGAACTGCTGCAGCTAAAATAAACACTGCCACCATTACTTGTACTTGTGTTGTTATTAAAGTTGCATTCCGAATGTAATACTTTGATGTTGTCAGATGAATATTTGATTGCACCTTCTTTGAAGTCAAAGAAGAAACTGAGTAAAACAAAACACTCTTGATTGTTGACAGGTACGGAGCAATTGATGCATGTGACTGGATCTGGCTGATTCTCTGTTTGGTAAAAATAAGTCCAAGAATCAAATGGAATTAGGGTTGTTAAAAATATCAAAAATTAGCGTTTTGAAGACACCATGGTGTCTTATAATTTTCCCTTCCTTATTGGCGTGTAGAAATAAATGCGCCAATAGATTGAAGAAGAAGAATTGTTTTTCTCTTAATGAACTTTAATCATTTTGATATAAGAATATTGAAAACATTAATATAATTTCGATTTCGGAAATTAAATTTCCAAATTTTTTGTCGATTTCGGAAATAACAGGATCCCGCATCCAACACGCAACAACAAAACACAAAACACACTTTTTGGTTCTTTCATCGTTTTAATCGTAATTTATGTAATACATGATTTGGATAAATTTTACAAAAATAGAACCTATATTATATTCTTTTCAAAGATTCTTACAAATCATCAAAAATAATTGTATTTTAAAAAACGATCAAATTATCCTTTCATTATTTTAAACTTAAATTAGTTTTTATGATTGACTAAGGGTTTCGTTTTGCGAAAAAACGTACAATACGCAATTTCGCTAAAAAACATTTCGCTAGCAATTTCGACCTTTGACTCCACTCAAGACGTCACTTTTTTAATTTTGCGGTATCATATTTTTGGAAAATCTTTATGAATATTATATAAAAAGTCTCTTTAATATCTATATTTCATATTTTTATCGATTTTTAAAGTTTTTGCGAAAAGTATTCAATTATTTTTGCTATTTTGTCGGTAAATGTCAGATTTGCGACATTTTCTGATATGATATTCAGATTCTACGTTGATAATAATGCTCATAGAACCCTCTTGCTATTGTGTCAAAATTGCGAAACCGATAGCAAAAATATCTCGCAATATCAAAATTGAGATATTGAGTGAATTATGCATTATAGAGATTAAAAATCTGATTTGTGAAAACATCTCATCAGTTTCTAGCTAATTCAAAAATCTTTACTATCTTATTCGATTAAAATGAAAAGGGAATAGTTTCATTATGCTTTAAATGACAGCCTTATAATATAATCATAGTTTTCGCTCAATATGCAGCATTTTTTTTTCGAAATCTATGGTCAATGTCCTAAATACTGATTGCTTTGCATTCATATCTCTTACATTTTCTATACCCACATCACTATTCATTGCTATTCCTATCTTTTTCATTTTTGTTTGTTTCTCATAATTTCTCAAAAAACACGATAACTTGATATTTGTAAATATCATACTTTATAACGTAAATAAGAACTTCCTATAGAAAAGCAGTAATGAAAGAAAATCTGAAATTCATAAAAATTACAAGTTTCTGATGACAATTAGCTTAATTAAACCAGGTACAAGATTATATAATTGTATTTTCTATCCAATTATCCATATAATATCTTATCCAGAAAAAATAACTTGATCAATACCAAATGATTTTTTAACTAGTAAATAAAGTATTTTCTTTACACACACATTGTATATCATAGTTTTTTTTTTTTTGGTTTCGCAAAACATCCAAAAACAAATATGCTATAAAAGTGACAATTTTAGCAAAACGAAACCCTTAGATTGACTAAAGCAATCATATTTATTCATCATAATAAACAAAAAAATAATATTTGAGAGTTATTTCAAAAAAAACACATTGAATTTATTAATTTGTCTCAATTTCAGTATTATAAATTTTTATAATTTCAATATTTTGAAATACACTTTTTAATATTTCAATATTTATGATATTTCAATGTATTAAGTGGTCTCAAATTGAGCTTCTCAAATATAAGTTGGCCTATTCAAATAATAAAATTAAATAATATTTAAAATAATAAATAAAAGTGATTGAGGTCATAGCAAAACGGCTGTTTCAGTCATTAATTCTTAAAAATAAAAAGGGTAAAAACTAAATAAAATGGGTAAAATTCAATAGTGTCTGTGCTATCGTTCAATTTGAAGGTTCTTTTGAAACCGCAAGACACATTGAATTTTTGAATAGTGTATTATGGTTTGACAGACACCAATGAAAAAAATAAAATGATATTTATTTTAAATATATAAGATCCTTATATAAAATATAAATATTTTATCGTTTTATTTTCTTGTTTTAGAAATGTTTTTTATTGAAAAATCAATAAAACTAACTCCAAAATAAAATTTTTGATCTAAAGACACTATGATGACACCAGGCAAATCTTCCAAGACACCTATCGTCGGGAATCTAACAACCCTAAAATGGAACAACGGACTTCTAGATTTTATCACAAAATTTTTGTAAATTATTCAACTTTGGTAATTTTTACAAGTAAACAATATGAATCAAATTCTTTCATATCTGCAAAGATAGGAAATTTGATATTTTAAATGCTTTACGTTTGATATTCAAATAATCATAGCGGAGTACTTTGTATTGTGGTTTAAAATATGAAAACATTGAAAATTTATGAAAAAAAGGTTTTGACATTCAAAAAATTCTTCGATGATTTCATATACAGCTGTTGCACGTGGCCAGACAATCATTGCTACATACTCACCAGATGGAACAGATTTAAATAGAGAAGCTCAGAAGCTTTTGGAGACTCCACTTGAAAAAAATGAACAAAGAAGGATGAATCGTTTTATTTTCACATTTCTCAAGAAAAATTCACTTGTTTTCATATGTGCTTCTAGTGCAGATGATCCATCATCTATACCACTGCAATATTTGGATAAATTGTCTGATAGATGGTATTTAAGTTTCTACGAAGCATCAAAGAGAGCCGGACCAAATGGCCTTTCTACTCAAACAGCCGACTTATTCAGAGCAGTCTTGGACGATATTTCAACAAGTAATAATAAGGCAGAGAAAATTAAGAGAGAAATGGAACAAACAACAAGAATCATGACTGATTCGATGCAAAAAGCTATTTCTAGAGGAGAAGATCTGGAAAATCTCTCCAATAAAACAGAAGATCTTTTATCTACATCTGTAGACTTTAAGAACCAAGCGACAAACCTGAAAAATAAGATGAGATGCGCGCGATACAAATCCCTTGCTTTCTGGGGCATTATTTTACTTGTAATTATTTATTACATTTTAACAAAGATTTGTGGTGGTTATAACTTAAAGCCACGTTGCTTAAAATAAATATCTGTAGTTTATGTCATAATGCTAGCTAATCTTAAGGTTATTTTTCAAAATATCGAAAATTTGTCTTGATTTAACATATTTAAAGACAAATGGAGAAGGCAATCGATAACCCATATTGAGTATGAAATAACAATATTAGTTCTCTAGACCGATTATGCATATATAATGAATTTCGAAGTGTAACGAATATTTTTTAATAAATTTTTCTTTTATTGTGTAAGGAATTGATTAGACATAGATAACTAATACCGAATTAGCATTTTAATTACTCACGGTTACATATTTGAAATCAGATACCATTGAATTTGAAACAAAAAAAAGTTTTCCCAAGATTTTAGAAAATTTATATGTTCTTATGTTTAAATGTAATACTCTCAGAAATTCAAATTGAATGTTTGTCAAATTTTTCAAAGTGGATGCATTCCCTCACCAACATTATCAACGCTAGTGGGGGAGAGCTGTATCATGTTACATTAATAAGATATTTTGATATGCATCCTTCGGGCAAGAAATTGAAAAAAGGAGCTCCTGAACATGTTCAAAACTTAATTTCGCAATATAATATACAAAAGGTTCAATTAAAAAATCTTAAAATGGCATTACAGGAAGCTCGTAGTTCCATTTCGCTCAATAATATTCTCGAGCAGCAATATCATTTAACAGAATTACCAATAATCACTGTTTGTAAGTCATGCCAGAGTTTATTAGATGATTTAAGTTGTGGAAGACCATTATTTTCATCACCAGATTTCACTATTATCGTATTTCAAATAGTTGGAGCGATTGGAATCATTTTAAGAGATCAGATACTACAATACTATACAGATTTTGGCAAAAACTGTTTATTTCATGACGATGATTGGCTTATTATAGTAGAGCCTCTCAAATATTTAATAGCTTTACAAGATCCGAAACTTGCACCGGATATTGTTTCTCTTTTGCCTCTTTACTGTGATACATGGAAAGACAGTAGTGTGATTGTCACAAATAATAACAATGATTACGTTATCAGATCTCTAAAAATGTTTATTAACAATTTAATTACGAAATGTGTTGATTTATACGATATCCATGACGATTCATGTGTAAAGTACCTAACAGCCATATTCCATTCATGGCTAAACTCTCATCCAGAGATTTCTCTTGTTGCGGAATTATTAATCTTCCTAAACTCGATAATTAAGATCATTCCTTTACTACCTCCGTCCGTAAGACGCGATATCCTATACCTCGCGTCCTGGCTCCTTTGCGAACAACCGAAAATGAACATTGCTGGCCTTGATTTGACCTGTTTGACGGCCATCGCCCTGTGCAATGAGGTCGACCATCAACCATGTGAAGTGGCCACTAAAGCTTTTTGCGCTTTTGTGAAACATCTCATAAAAATTAACCCAACAGCGTTCGATGACTTGGATAAACTACCTGTCCCGGATACTTTCGACTTTGACAAGCTCACAGAAGTGAAATCTCTTCAATCCAACGATGTTCCGGAAAAATTAACAAAACAAGTCGACATGTCAAGGAGATTGACCACGACATTAGCGAAATGGGATGCTTTCCTCGTCACTCTGAGTGATAATCTATCACAGGATCCCAACGTTTTGAACTTTGTCGCTTGTACAATGGCATCTAGTTGTTACAGTTTGATCGGATTTGAAAGGTTCATCAGAATTTTGATAAACAACAAGACCAACCCTCATATCGTCGATTCTTTCCTTTACAAAATTACAAATGTATCTCCTGCAAAGACATATACGATACTTGATGAGATTTCCCAGTGCGAGAACTTGTATACACATGTTGCTTTGATAAGAGAACTGTACAACAAAGGAAAAATCGTTCAATTGATGAAATCAAATCTAATGACAGTACTTAGAGCAAGAAGGAAGCATGAGGATATCAATGGATTGGATAAATTCGTTGAATTATTGTATAATTCTGAGAAAACTGCAGGTCATTCCTCAAATTTTGGACATCTCGTTTTTGACATGTTAATTGATGGAGGCCACAACCAACTTATCGATTTCTACGCTGTTAATCCGCTGACAATTTCGATTTTTACGAATATTATCAATAAATTGCAATTATTCCTCATAAAAATCAAATCTGATCCACAATTCATAGATGTAACAGCGACAATACTTGCCAACCTTACAGCTTCCATCAGTTTCTTGGAATACGAGAACTGCCAAACGATTGTTGAAAATATTTTCCCAGGAACAGTTACAATTATCAAAAACCTAAAGCCGCAGGATGTTCTAGATAACTTCTTAGACCTTATTTTCCACATGACTATGAAATTTCCGGAGTTTTTAGACGCATTTGCGAATAATGAAACGAGAACATACAACGTTCTCAGGTCAGTCATCAATGATTTCCAAGCTACAAGGAAGACAATACTTCTTCTGATCTCCATTTCCCTTGGATTCATAGTTGAAGATTATATGGTCATTCCCTTCAAAGATAGCCCTCATGTTGTATGTGCGCAAGCCCTTTACCTTGCACTGAGATTATCTGTTAACTCAGAATTTGCTCTTTCATTGATAGAACTCGCAACAAAATTATGTGCCGAAAATCAGTCGAACGCTTACTCATTCTTTATGGCTGATTTTGTTTCTTTCGCCTTGGAAAACATAAATGACATCAATTTGACCCACAAAGCCATAATGTTATACAGAAATATAACAAGATCGTTCTTTAACGCACAAACATTCAACGATACGATCAACGCGATCAAGAATGTTGAAGGCGATATCGTTATCGGCCAGCAAGCTCTATTAGAAGCTCTCACTTCCATGGTTTTCGAAGTTTCTCATCCTCCTGTTGACTCTTTCTTCCACATTGACAGGGGATCGATATCAAAAGCGTCTGTAGAACTCAAGATCCCGGTGTTCTCTTTCGCTACGACCATCAGAATTCCGAAAAAGAGAGTAAATCTTCTCAAATTTGGAGAATTAGAGATTTACATCAGTCCAACAACGATAGAAATGAAGACAAAAGCGGAGATTAATGCCTTTGATTACAAATTAAGGCCGGAAAGATGGCATCATCTAGTTATTATTTTTAATATGAAACAATGTACGACATATGTCAACAAAACCCTTGTTTTCACCACTAACTTCCACTTATTCGAGCCAGGAGTATACTCAATTACTCTTGCTGATGGAATAAATGGAGATATCGGACCAACATTTTTCTTTTCAACGATAGACCCAAAAGTAATCTTCTCAAAAGCAAGCAAATCGTCAAGACCAAAGGACGCGCTGGCCGCTTTCATCCCTCTCAACGTAAATGGCAAAGTTATTACCGATGTAGCACCAAATACAACTGCAGAGCTTGATGGTAGCTGCGTTCCGTACACTACAACACTCTCAGATATCATTATGTACCCTGGAATTCTCAGAGGATTCATTTCAACGCTCAAAATTATTGTTTCCGATTACTGTAAACAGGCTAGCGCTACTCCTCAGATCTTTAATTCGCTTCTGTCGATAATTATACACATAATAGAGCTTCCTAATGGTATCCAAATGTTCGAAAAAGAAGGCGGAATCATATTAATCGCTGGTTTCTTATTATTATCAGTTCCTAATGTATTCGCTCCTAATGTCATCATGAACATGTGCACATTGTTCAAGAAGATGGACTCCAAAGTGCTAAAACAGCATATGAGACAACATATTTTCGAATGTTTCTCAATTATTCTCAAAAACGACCTTCCTCTTATCAAGTACTACTTCCATGACATACTTCCTCCCCTTGTAGCATTTCCAGAATTCAAACAGGACCATTACATTTCCTACATTTACCAAACGGTAGCATGTCAGACCACAGATGAAGTGAAAGACCTTATGTGGGGATATTACTCCCTGTTGACAGCCAAAGGTATTCCAGATAGAGATGCCGAAGCATTGTCCCTAATTTTCCTAAATACAAAAGATGTCCATACAAGAAACAAAATCTACGAATTACTTGTCAAGGCATTTTCAGACAAGTCAAGAGTAGCCCTCAATTTCGTTGTCCAAGAGATTGGAATCCTTCCATTTGCTCAATCTTTAAGTTCCGATGACGAAGACTTCCGAAATCAGGTTCTACAATTGATATCTTATTTATGTATATCGCCAATGGTCAAACTAAAGTTCGATTACGTCTCTCAATACTTAAACCACGAAATATCGAACAAACAAGTACAAGAAATCTTCAAGATTGCCTTCAACATCAATTCCTGTGATGAAAGAAGCTGCATGGAGATCAGTCCTCTTCCAAATCCAGAAGTTTTGTTGTTATTCTTCGAATTATTCGAGAGAACAGACAAATCTTTCTACAACAACGCTCGTACAAAGATCTCAAAGTCCCTGAGAAACTGTCCACACGATTTCGATAAGTTCAACGATGAATGTATCGATTTCTTAAAATATTGTTTCAGATTTTTCTCAGTAGACGACCATTTGATCGAAATATTGACTGATTTCACGAGTTCTGCGCTTGCCTACGAGAAGTACAACCCTGTTTCTGATATAGTTTTCATGATTTACAAAACGAAATCTCCAGGATTCCTCGGAAAGTTCTTGGGAAGACTCCTGGATACTGTAACAACATGCAGAAGAACAAAGAACCAGTTGCTGAACGTTCTTTCCGTAGCAATTCAGTCATTATTGTTCACCCCTGTAGACAAAGAGACAAATTACGCTTATATCAATGAAACTCCGGATCCTGAATTATGTAATCCGCTTCTGAACTGTATACATTACGTAATTACTCTGGATTCCACTTGTTCTATCCAAATTAACTCGAAATTCTCGATCAAAGCGTTTACGGCGTATTGCCTCGTAGCGTGGGAGTACGGAAAAGACAATATCGAGGTGTTCCATAAGAGCTACGACCAGATTTCGAGTATGTCCTCATTTATCAGCAAAAACGTGTTCAACGAGTCGATAATTTTCTTTGTAGACGCTCAAAGGAAATTGATATCGCAAGGAAATCTCATTGGCGAAATCCTGGAAGCGAGTGCCAGTCAAGAAGTCAGTTCCAGGCTTGTTGAAGCGTTTTTACGTGATGCTGAGTCGAAGATCAAGTACTACGTCGACGAATTCTACGAGAAATATAATGAATTTTTGGTTAATTTCTCGAAAGAAAATGAGTACTCGATAGATTCGATTACAGACAACAAATACGAAGAATTCATGAAGCACGAGAGCGAGAGTGTCGTATTGGCAGAGCGCCATTGCATTAATTTAGCCAAAGCTTTCATGAAATCAGCTGATTTGTCAAAGAAAGATGAACATTGGAAAGTTTGCAATGTCTTCGATTCAGAATTCAGGCCGATCTTCATGACAGTCAACAAGGACTTCGACAGACACTTAAAAGCCTCTGCAATAAGAGATTCTATTCCATTCAATTCCGAAAACGTGACACCTGAAATTAATTACAAGAGAATTGTTCCTTATCGTATGCAGAGTAGTGCAAAGACTACGATAGAGTCAATTCCTGTAACATATGTCACTTTATTAAAGAGATATCGCGGTACAATCAATTTAACCGAGAGAGGCTTCTTCTTCGACGGCGTAGAGGTCAGTGATGGCATCTGTACTCCAATAGAACCAGGGAAAACTCCAGAAAACAAGTTCGTCGAGCTAAAAGTTGACGATATTGATTTTATCTTCCAGAGAACTACATTACATGACGATCTTGGCGCAGAAGTATTTTACGCGGACTCGAAATCATACCTATTCCACTTCGATAACCAGAAATCTCGCGATAGATTTTTGGAAATCATGAAGATGACAGATACAAGAGAGTTCTCCTTCTTCCAATCGATCATAAAAGGCATAATTACGTCCGACCAATTCGATTTCTTCGCTCTTTGCCGCAATACTTGTAAAGGAATCACTCAAAACATTCCTCCCGACGAATTACTCGAAAAAATAGGAGCTACGAAGGCATGGTTGACCAGAAAAATCTCAACATTCAAATATTTGATGATTTTAAACATATTATCAAATAGATCGTTTAATGATGTGAGTCAATACCCTGTTTCCCCATGGATTCTCAAAGATTACGATTCAGAGAACATCAATCTTGACGATCCACAGGTTTACAGAGATCTTTCTCTGCCAATTGGAGCAATGGACGAAAAGAGACTGCAAAATCTATTAAGTAACATGTCAGAAATACCCGAAGGTGCCCATGATTACTGTTTGTACAGGACACACTACTCAAATCCTGGATATACGATTTCATACATGATAAGAGTTGAACCATTCACTACTTTGCACATATCATTGCAAGCAGGTCACTTCGATATAGCTGACAGACTGTTCAATGATATCAAAAGGTCATGGCAATCCGTTCTGAATCTGAATAGTGACTATAGAGAGTTAATTCCTCAGCTTTTCTGCCAGCCATCGATATTAAAGAACGAGAATGGCTTCAATCTCGGTCGTAAGAATAACGGAGAGAGAGTTGGCGATGTCAAATTACCAAATTGGGCGAAAAGTCCTGAAGATTTCATCGTAAAGCATAGAGCAGCACTTGAATCGGACATTGTTGGTGAAAAACTCGGTAACTGGATTGACTTGATATTCGGTGTCGATCGTTGTTCGAAGAAGAAAAACAATGTTTTTCATAAATTCACTTACGATGACTTTGCAATTCCTTTGTTGTCAACAGAATTTGGTTCGTTAGTCAGGAATCACTGCGCCAATTTCGGTATCACGCCAACGCAGCTCTTTATCTCATCCCATCCTAATAGAAGTCCGAAATCAGCATCGGCTCCTTCGACGTCACTTTTATCTGGAAGCAAGTTCCCCGCTCCGATTATTTTCTTCAGAAATAATTATGTACTTACTAATGACGGATTATTCTACGACCATTCGCAGAATGCCTTACAGTTATCGGCCACCACCATGGTACAGACGAATATAAATGTCTGCACATCATTCTCCATGTCCGAAAACTACATTTTAGGCCTACATTCCTCTGCATGCGAAGTTTACTCATTTGCAAACTTGCAGAAGAAGGTCAAAACACTGAGACACCCTGGCGGCGATGTCACAGCTGTTGCGGCATTAGGTAGCTTGGCACTTACAGCAGGTACTGACTGCACTGTGAGGATTTTCAGAGCTCCGGCATTTGATTTGTCACAAGTTATCACAATAGGAAGACGTCCATTGACTCATTTGTCTGTATCCGCAGTACTCAAGACAATAGTATGCATAGACAAATCCCATTGCCTACATTTATCCCATTTGGTCAGAGAAAGTATGAAATTCGACCGACAACTTACATGCGAAGGCAGAACAAGCCACTGCTTGGAGACACTAGACTCTGGATTCATCGTCGCTACATCTTGCATGAAGGATGAACCGAAATTAAACACAATCATCGAATTATTTGATACAAGACTGGTCAGAATCGGATCAGTTGAAGTCAAAGGAGAAGTTATTGCCATGTGCGATGTCTCCACATTCTCCAAATCGATGATTGCCCTACTTCTTGAAGAAGGAAAAGTTGAATTTGTCGAAATTCCAACAATGACAGTCGTAAGTACTGTTTCCAAAGGAATAATTGGAAAGACAATATTAAGAGCATCTCCTGATACAAACAGTGTCCTTACTGTTATTATTGATAACCAAATTTGCGAAATTTCACCAAAATTTTAGAGAAAAAAATATTTTTAAAATGTATGTATAAATAAATTTTAAAAAAATATAAAAAAGTCTTCATTTCTTCTTTCCTGCTGTAGTTGCGATGATAATAATAATTATGATGATGACAGCTGCAGCAACAGCACCACCGAGGATGTACCAGCGATATCTCTCCCAGCACATCTTCTGTTCGACCTTCTTTGCTGATCTTTCGAAGGCTGATGCGTGTTGTTGAAGGGCTTCTGACTTTTCCTGCATGACTTCGAGCTTCTCACCACGTACGAGAGCATCGGCAAGGTTCTGTGTCATGATTTCCTGTGTGGCTTGGATGTTTCTGTTGATTTCGGCAATCTTCTGTTGCTGTGGGTTGTTTAACTGTGTAAAGATCTCCTGGATTGTTGGTCCGAACTCGCCTGACTTGGAGAGTGGGCCGAGTGAGGCGTAGTTTGGATACTTCATGACAAACTTTTGATAGATCTGATCAACAGCGTAGAAACGAACGTTGCCCTTAACATCCTTGGTTGTGAGGATAAGAACTGTAATCTTGTTGGAACGAGAGATGAGGGAGAAGAGATACTGCTGCTGTTCGAAAGAAACATTCTTGTCATCAAACTTGACTTGTTTAAGAATGCCAGGAACAATTTGGCTCATGTTACCTGAGGCATTAGAGAGTTCTGCAATGATTGTGTTTTGGTATGCAACAGCACCGTATAAGAAAGACATTTGAGTTTTTTTGTTGTATGATTCGTCACTTTTAAGATTTTTTTACAATGCCAAAAAAAGTTACTCAGCTATTAACATTAATTATATATTTTAAGTTTTATAAAAAATGTGAATGGACGATAAATGTATCGTCAATTTTTATTAGTCATTCATTCAAAATGCTGGTAATGAATTACTTATAAGCTAAATATGACAGTTTTGAAATGAGTTCTCGTAAAAATGCGGATTTGGCTATTTCGTATTGTTATTGTCGGACAAAAGAATGAAAATGCTAGCCATGATTGCTTTATACTGTTATTCTCATATATCCATTATGATGAATCTCTACAGAATTATATGGAATAGAAACATGGAAAACAAAATATGGCAATACAAATTTATTAAGTAGATCAATGACTATAAATAGATCGTGGTGAATTAATTACTATAGATAAAAAGTTTAATAATTGGTTTACTATGAAATTATAAAGAAAAAAAAAATATGAAATATTTTGCTATGAAAAAGAAGTTAAAATAAATGAGTAATTTTTTACTGTAATGATGGAGATATTGATCCGAAAAGGATACAATGATTCAATGTTTATAAGTTAAAATTATTTAAAATAATCCTTTTTGAAAAGAATTCTGTGTGTTAGTTGTTTGTTTAAATTGAGTGCTCGGCTAAGTTTAGTCATCATATTCAGATGTCCCAAACTTTAGATCGTCACTGCGAGAGAATACATACTTTTTTTTACTTCAATAACTAAAATGGCCGAACAAATGTCACTTTTAGAAGGCAATTTTTTTATTTGATGACTTTTTTTAAGATTTAATCCATATCAATTAAAGAATCTAATTCTTGATTAAATATAAAACGCATTTTATTATTTCAAAAATGAAAATAATGACAATTTGTATTATTTTGGTTTTACATTGATTTTTGAAAAATTTCATTAATAACAAATCACATTAATTACTTTTGAAATGATTTAGTCACAACATATGAATGTCAAATCCATTTAAATTTTTAAAACACACTATCCATAATTTCGATTTATTTTTTGATTTCTGAATAATGAAGGCGATTGTATTGACTTGTGAACGAAAAATCAATGTGTTATCGCTTATACAAGCAATTTAGGTCTAATTTATAGTTTTTATTGTTTGATAGTAAAGATTTTATTTTTGTGTTTAGAAAACGGAATAGTTGAATTAATTTACATTATCCTTAAGGTAAAAGCTTCAATTAAGTTCACAGATAGTTTTTAATACACTAAAATTTCAAACAAAATATTAACAACATCCAGATTTTTGTTCATTTGCCTCTGGGATAGGTTGTGGTTCGATCAAATTCGATATATCCACAATATTAGCGCATGTCATAAAAACATCCTTAATTCCGACATTTGTAATGGATGAAGTAACAAAATGATGTTTTGCACCAAGGCTCTTAGCGAGATTTTCTCCTTTGATTGTATATTCTTTCAATTGATCTTCTTTGAGTAAATCTGCTTTGGTTAAAACCAAAATAATGTTTACACTAGGAACCTCATCACGTACACTTTCGACCCATGTCGTAACGTTACTTAAATCTTGGTTTGATGATGGATCATAGCAAACTAAAGCTACATCAGAATCTCTGTAAAATAGTTTACCAACTGCGTGGTATCTTTCTTGTCCAGCTGTATCCCATATCTGTAAGCATACTATTTCTCCATCTGTACGGGGTATTTCAGCACAAGAATATGAAGGAGCTACTGTTGGTGAAGATTGGAAGTCGAAAGGTTGTCTAAAAAACGAGGATATCAAGCATGTCTTGCCAACTGGCGTGTCTCCTACTAGAATAATTTTTAAGGTTGGACGATTTGATGAAATGTCACTCATCTTACTGTCAAAAAAAATATTCAGATTGTAACCTCTCAAAGTTCAGATTTCATATCTTAATGTTGTGTGTATTTGAATTACTATTTATATATCCAACAAAATTTCCATATAAATAATAGTATTCAGCGTTGTAATGTCAAATTGGAATTTTGAAAGTTATTGTCCTGAGAGAGAGGGTCAAAGTTGCTATTTGTCACTTTTCCACAAGAATATAATGGGGAAAAAGTTATCATATAGTTGATCTCATTCACTGAGGTGAGAGATGCATGTAGTGTAATGTGATAAACAGTTGGATTGCTGCTCTAAGTCCTAGGTTCGAGACACATTGGCTTCATTTTTCTCTTTTTTATTGACGTAAACTATTCAATTTTTGTGTTCTCCATTCAAATTTCAGAATTTTTTTTGCAGATTTCACGCTACATTCGAAGTTACCTTTTGTAACAACCACCACTGCCTACGAAAGACGAAAGTGTGTCACGATTTCACCCGGAAATCCGACGGTTGTTTAAGAGTAAGCACTTTTGGCACCTACTCATTGTCCTGAGCGATTTAACCAGTAAACTATTCATAGAAATTGTATTGCATTAATAGTTTATCTTAAATATTTCGTTTGTGATATATTTTGAATATGGAAATTCTGAAAGTGCAAGCCATTACAGGTCTCAAACTCGCTCCCATTCCAAGGAGGCATGTTTTGTATCTAGCATCATGAAAAATTCTGTTAATTTCTATTCAGAATCAAAATTGTACTAATCGCTATTATTTTAACAATACTATTATTTAAATATGAAATTTATATAATTGCCTACTCCCAATATTAGCAGCTTAGCATATCTGCTCATTCTGGAATTCCACTCAAATTATTGAAATCCGTTTTTTAAAAATTTTAAGATTTTTTAGTTTTTTTCGAACATGCTTAATGTTTTGTTGATAATGATAAAAATCATTCTTGCTCCATTCAATTTTCAGAATAAAAATTTCTTTTTCTATTAACTCATAGAATTGTTTCAGTGTCATAACTCAAATGTTTTGAAATATAAATTTTCATAATTATTTTTGACAGCATTAAATGAAACTGAAGTTATTTGTATATTGCAAAAGTAATTTAGTATTATGAAAACCGTTTTCAAAATTTTTATGCTTGTTTCCTTCAAATTTTTTAGCAATGGAACCTTCTTACAATGATTATCTTATTTCTATCATATACATTAAAATGATATGCGACGTTGTCATTCCTTCTACTAACCTTTTCATGGAAGACTTAATTACTTTTCAACAATACCAAGCATATTTTGATTATGCACCACAATTTCTTCAAACGCATCAAAGAATCCAAATAAACAATTATGCCATAAATTCATTCAATCAGCCTCAACTCACAAAAGATCAAATTCAACTCTACGAAAATTTGAAAAATTACAATAATGAGTTGAATGATAAGTTCATAAGTTTAACTGTGGATTTCATAAATCAAGTCAATTGCGAGTGGCCCTTGCTTATTAAATCTTTGGACCAAATCCAAAAAATGTACACAACCTATTTCAAAAATATTCATACAAATCGAATATTATATATCCGTTTCTAAAATACATTTATAAAAATAGAGGATCAAAGCCCCGAATCCTATTTCATATTGAATCAAAATTTTTTCTAGATTTAATGAACATTGATAAACTAACATATAAGATCTATAAGGATTGGGAAAATTTATTCCAATCTATCTCAAAAAATCGAAAGAATCCAATTGTTGCTAAATCTAATCCAAAATCAAAATTAGATTACTTTGAGAATCTTAACTTTTCCTTAAAACCAGTTGAAATTGAACACTAACAGAATTTGTAATAAAAAGAATAATAAAGCGTATCAAGTAAAAATTGTAAACTGAAAAGTCACTTTTCCCACTTTTTCTCTATTTTTCGCTTAACTTTCTATCATATTTTTAATTCATTGTATGACAACATTATATAATCTTTAATTATTCGATACCCTTCCACCTGACAAATCTATTTATGGGAGTTGTATTAAATTAAACTGAATTTATTATGAATAATCCAACTTTTTTTAATTTTTAGGGAAAAATGATTAAGAGCATTCAATTTTTTAATAGTTTACAGTACATAATCGTCATCCTGTTTTTTTGAAAATCCACATTTTGGATACTTCTGCCTAATATTATCTATTGAGGGCAAATTAAATACCTTGTGAACACTTTCAAACCAAAATAACTTAAACTTTTGGACAGTGGTTTATGGTGTTTACGTATCGTTGGAGTGCACACTTAATGGTAAATTATTATCATTATCCACTTACTTTGACTTACATGATTATCTTATTTCTGTCAGATACATTAAAATGATATGCAGCGCTGTCATCCCTTCTACTAACTTATTCATGGATATCTTACAATTAGAATATGAAAGTGATGTATTTTTTGTGTTTGCGCAAAAAATTCTCGAGAATAAATCAATAATGCACTTATTTCAACCAATCAGATCTCATAAAAGATCAGTTTCATCTCTACGGAAATTTGGAAAAGCAAAATTGTTATTTGAAAAATGATTAAAGCAAAATTATGCACAGACATAAATAATTTATACAATGATATCTTAAATAATCGAAAGAATAAAGTTGTAGCAAATTCTAATTCAAATTTTGAATTGAGTTACTTAGATAATCAAATGTTTTCCTTAAAACTAGTTGAAATTCAATCAGATTTATTATGTTGAGCCAATTTTGTATTTAGTTTGATTATATTTATAAATCTTATACCAAATTTATCATTTTCTAATTTTTAATGAATATTTTGAATTTTAACTCCATCTTTACTTCTCATTAGATCATATACTATCATCTCATTATAATTTTGGAAATGAATAGCGCATATTACCATAATAAAAAATATATCAGCATAATCAAAGTATGAAATATGCAATTTGTATTGACATATTGTGCTCAAATTGAATAAGAGTAGTTATAATCCAATCTATCTGATTGACCAAAATAGAATTGCTTGCGAAAGAGGTATCTGATTCAAAAGCAATATGGGTTGTTAACAAAAACTAATGGAATGCTAAATTACAAGGGTACATTAATAAAATGACACTATTGTTCAAAATGAATAATTTTTTTGGGAGCGTAATAATAGAAAATGACTTCAAAAACAGCTTTGTAACGAAATTCTTTATTTGAGAATATTGTCACTTCTATCAAATTCCCATTGCTCACTTTATCAATTTGAACAATAACAGAAAAATAAGCAGTAAACAAACACAATTTATGAAAGAATTTGGTCGTTATCATTTCCTGGTTATATCTATCAAATACTCTTCATAAACTCTTCGACAAAACTTGAGGGCAAACCCAAATTTTAGCTAAAAGTGACAGGAAAAAAAAACGTTTAGTATTAAAAAAAAGACCGATGAGAGCTTCGTTCGAAATATAGAGGGAACTGAGAATGCGCAACCATTCTCAGGGAATATTGGATGCTATTCCCGTTCCCTCTGTATGGAAAATTGAGGTTTTCAAAGGGAGTTAAAATAATATCAAATTTATACTAATTTACATCAAAATACAAAAGTATTTGACAGCTAAAATTAGTTACTTTAGCAAGCCTATCAATACCCTTTTACGATTATTGCTACTTTTTCGAAATAAAATAAATTTATTATCAAAAACCTTTTTTTTCGGCAAACCCAAATTTTAGCTAAAAGTGACAGGGGAAAAAAACGTTTAGTATTAAAAAAAAGACCGATGAGAGCTTCGTTCGAAATATAGAGGGAACTGAGAATGCGCAACCATTCTCAGGGAATATTGGATGCTATTCCCGTTCCCTCTGTATGGAAAATTGAGGTTTTCAAAGGGAGTTAAAATAATATCAAATTTATACTAATTTACATCAAAATACAAAAGTATTTGACAGCTAAAATTAGTTACTTTAGCAAGCCTATCAATACCCTTTTACGATTATTGCTACTTTTTCGAAATAAAAGTAAAAACAAATTTATACTAATTTACATCAAAATACAAAAGTATTTGACAGCTAAAATTAGTTACTTTAGCAAGCCTATCAATACCCTTTTACGATTATTGCTACTTTTTCGAAATAAAAGTAAAAACAAATTTATACTAATTTACATCAAAATACAAAAGTATTTGACAGCTAAAATTAGTTACTTTAGCAAGCCTATCAATACCTTTTACGATTATTGCTACTTTTTCGAAATAAAAGTAAAAACAAATTTATACTAATTTACATCAAAATACAAAAGTATTTGACAGCTAAAATTAGTTACTTTAGCAAGCCTATCAATACCCTTTTACGATTATTGCTACTTTTTCGAAATAAAATAAATTTATTATCGAAAACCTTTTTTTTCTTAGTAAAAATAAACGAAATTTTTTACCTTATGAACTTTTGATGGAAATATGCAAATTTAAAAAAAAAAAAAAAAAAAAAAAAAAAAAAAAGGTAGTGGGGCTTCCAGGCACTTCGTGCCCTCTAGCCCTGAAGATGTTTAGTATAAATGAAGTTTTTATTCGGAAAATTGTTAGTCTTCTTGGTCGAAAACATTATATAATGTTTCACTTTTCACAAATTATATATGTTTTCATGTTTTGTCAAGACTTCTTCGTAAATGTTTTGTCAAGACTTCTTCGTAAATGTTTTGTCAAGACTTCTTCGTAAATGTTTTGTCAAGACTTCTTCGTAATGAGTGTAAATGACCAAAAATAATGTTTAGGTGAAGAGGTGAGATGTCACCTGTTTTCTCACCTCATTTCTCACCCGTTGAATTTTCATGAAATTTACACCAAAAATATATTTTAGGTGAAGAGGTGAGATTTCACCTGTTTTTTCACCTCTTTTCTCACCTCTTGAATTTTCATGAAATTTACACCAAAAATAATGTTTAGGTGAAGAGGTGAGATTTCACCTGTTTTTTCACCTAATTTTTCACCCTCTTGAATTTTCATGAAATTTACACCAAAAATATACTACTAGGGTCATTTACGAAGAAATCTCAACAAAGTCTTTACGATGAAATCTTGACAAAACATAGACAAGAAAGTTCATGAGAAATTAGATGAAGAAGTCTTAACAAAGTCTTTACGAAGAAATTCATGAAAATTCAAGAGGTGAGAAATGAGGTGAAAAAAGAGGTGAAATCTCACCTCTTCACCTAAAATATATTTTTGGTCATTTACGAAGAAGTCTTAACAAAGTCTTTACGAAGAAGTCTTAACAAAGTCTTTACGAAGAAGTCTTAACAAAGTCTTTACGAAGAAATTCATGAAAATTCAACGGGTGAGAAATGAGGTGAGAAAACAGGTGACATCTCACCTCATATGTCCTTACTGAAAAAGTATGTGTTCCATCTGAAGTTCTTATATACGGGTCTTCCAGGAGCTTTTCACAAAATATATATGTTTTCATGTTTTGTCACTTTTCTGTCACTTTTCAGGGAAAAAACATTTTTATTGTATATAAAATGAATTTTACAAAACCACCGTTACCCTTCTTTGGAAATAAGAGTAGATGTAAAGATATTCTATTGAGAGAACTTAAGAAACTACCGAATGGTCTAACATTTGTAGATTTGTTCGGTGGAAGTTTCTATATATTCATTTGTGCCATACTGTATTTCCTGACTCAAAGATTATATGCAATGACTTCGACAACTATATGAACCGTCTCAAACATTACCAGACACAAACAAAATATTGAGTGAGTTGAAAGAAAAGATACCTATAGGCAAGATGGAACGTATACCATTAGATAAGAAAAATATTGTAAGAGGGTTTTGAAAAAAGCAGAGTATATTGACTGGGATAGTATATCTTCTAGACTATTATATAGTGGTTCTATAAGAGTTTCATGACATTGAAACACTTATGTCAAACGTTTATATCTTAACTATACAAAGGTTTTCAAGAGGACATAGAAAAATATACTGAGGGTATAGAGTTTGTGAGATGTCGTTGGACAGAGTTGTATGAAAAATATAAAACAAGGAAAATGTTTTCTTTATAGTAGACCCGCCGTTCTTTAACACATACGATTTTCAATACCAAGCAGACTGGACTTTGAGAGACTCTTTAGGAAACTTTAGACGTTTTACATAACTGTCCATGCTTTTACTTTACATCGATAAAAGTGGTTTGGAAAGTGTCATGAGATGGTTAGAGGACATACATGACTATGAGTTTATATATGACAAGATAGAATATGAGAGAGGTCCTATAAACCGGAAAAGTGTCATAACAAAGAAATTTTATTAGTAAGTAAATGTGGTTTGAAATAGGACTACTTGTTTTAGGTTTTTTCCATTGTGTCATTTACTTATTTGACGGCAGAAAGATATAGAGAATATGAAGATGAACCAATGCCTGCAAATGTCCAGTATATGTACTCGTAAGAGATATTTTTATCTAATATTAAATGGACGCACAGAACTTAGCGAATGCACAGCAACCTGGACAACCAAACCCAGAGAATATTCCAAATGAAGTTAGAATACAAACTGCAATGGCAAACTATGGTCAAGTGCCAACAGATGTACAAATGCAAACTGCCATGTCAAATGACGCTGCGTTAGGTTTGCCACCATGGTATGCAAATATGAGATGGAAAGAGTTTTATACAAACCCTGAAGTGGGATATAAACAACTTTATGCAGATGACGCGAACACAGGAGTTGACCCAGAATATGTTTTCTACCAGAGGAGAAACAGAATGTATGAGCTCCAGTTAAAGAATGCTATGGAACTCAACAGGAAACGTAAGAGACTAGGCGGACATTAGATTTTTACATATAGTAAAATGGGTTTCTTCAGTAGTATTGGAAACTTCTTTCGAAATGTTGGAAGAGGTATATGGAATGGAATAAAAACCGTAGGAAGAGGAATTTGGAACGGTGTCAAAAATATTGGTAAAAGGGTAGGTCAGTTTGTTGGTATTATACCTAAAGACCCTGAACCAGAAGAACAAGCTCCTGTTATACAACAGCCTGAACCTGCACCACAGTCTAGTTGGCAACCAAATCCAACACCACAACCGTATTAAAAAATTATATTTTTACCGTTCGATAGTAGTTGTATATGAAACTAAGTTCTAAGTAAAACGCATGGTATAATGGAATTATTCTTTTTCTTCCATCTGTAGTAAACCATACTTGAAAGTCTGAAATACTTCCACTCGGTGGTTCATATAGCTTTGTAGGTTTTTCGTAAAAGTCATTTGCCAAGCATAAAAAAGAGTTTTGGGCGCCAGAAAATGAAGCATGAACTATAATAGCATCTGAGTCGAAAACATTTTCATATGTTCCATTAGGGTTTTCGACTTCATAAAAGTCCGGGTGTACTGGATATTCTGCAGGCTGATTTAACATCCTCAGAAACCTATACCATGCCAAGTTGTTATATTTTGTAGAAATATAAACGTCTTCTCCAAGGTCTTCTATTCTATTGATTTTAACAGTTGCATTTTTCCTGTCATATATAATATCGAGATGGTACTCTCCTTCGTCAATGTTGTACTGTTTTGCATATTCGAGATAGATATCGTTTATTTTTTCTTGAAAAGCTTGAAGAGTTGTTTCTAAGTTTACAAGCAAATTCACTTGTAAAAGTTTTCCCTGTTCAAATTTCTCATACGTACGTTTCTCTTTGTTATAGTATCGAATTTCAAAAGCGACCGTAAATGGGAAACCATGTATGGCTTCTGAAATGAATTTCATTCTACGAAAGCCAATAGCTTTTGTGACAGATGGGTCTCTTAGCCATCTTAATGGGTAGTCAAAACGATAGCCTTCATGCTTTACGGTCTCTGTCTCAAACTTTTGACCGACATTAGTAAAAAGTTCATCTAATGGTTTAGTTGTAGCAACTCTTGAATTTTCTTTTTCTATTGGAAGCATATTTTATCTAGAATAAAAATGTCAAATGAAACAGCGTCTATGAGAGAAATACAACACAACCGACAACTCATTATGCAAGCTCTAAATAAGAACACAACAAACTTTTCAAACTATTCTAAGATATCTGAGTCATTGAAAGAAGGAAACTTAAAACTGACAATAAACCCAATGACAGATGAGTTTCTGTTTCAAGACAATAAGAACCATACTGTCTGTATAAATCCAACAAAAGGAACTTTAAACGAGAAACCTATAAATGAACTTCTTTTGAAAGCAGATGTTGGCAACAAAGCTGACAAAGAATATGTAGACGATGCAATAGCAAAAGAAGAAGAAAGAGCAGATGCAACATATGCAACAAAAGAACATACTCATCCTGAACTAGCAGACAAAACATATGTTGACAATAAAATGTCAAGTGAAGTGACGAGAGCTGAAAACGAATATTCTAAAAAGACTCATACACATTCTATATCTGAAATAACAGACTTACAAGAAACCTTAAACAGTAAAAGTGCCGTTGGACATACACATACCATTGCAAATATTACAAACTTACAAGAAACCTTAAACAGGAAAAGTGCCGTTGGACATACACATACATCTTCTGAAATAACAGACTTAAACGTTAGCCTTGAAAATAAAGCAGATAAAACATATGTCAATGAAATATACCAAAGTTTGATAGGAACAAAAAATATTGAAACTATTGTTGGTGACTTTTCTGTCAATGAAGAAAATAAATATTTTAGATGGCAGTTTGTACAGTCCTTAGAAAATGGTACACGGTGTAAACTCATTCCGAAAAATAACAATGAAATGTATGTAAGCTATAAAAAGAATGATGGTACACAAGTTAAAGTTCCATTAGACAACAACTGCTACTTAAACTTATATGGAGACGAACAAAAGAAATATTTAAGAGTTTATGAAATGGCAGATATGACATTGCCTGACCCAGCTCCAGCACCATATTATTATGACTATGGAGATGACGTCAGAACACCACATGTAGATGAACAAAAGCTAACATTATATTTAGATTATTATAGATATAAAAGATATAATGCAATAGAAAAAACGAGAATAGTATATTATTATACAGATGACAGAAATAAATATTATAGTCAAGATTTTACCTACCCTGAAAACATAAGATTATATTATAAAAAATATTCTGACACAAACCAGAAGAAACCTGAAATAGTTGCACTATATTTTAAGTTCAAAAGAGACAATCCTATAATATCTCATATGTTTGATTTAATGAACCCAGTAGGTTCTATTTATACATCTATGGATGCAAGAAGTCCTCAAGTAATGTTTGGTGTTGGTGCATGGGAACAAATAGTCGACAGGTTTTTGTATTGTGCAAACTCTTCAAAGGAAACAGGTGGAAGTAAAACGATTTCAGGTGAAAATTTACCTGCACACAGTCACTACATAGATTTAAGTACATCTCAAGCAGGTTGGCATAAGCATAAATTTTGGGATTGGCACGCCTTGAAAAAAGGTAAAGGATATGATGTTAAAGACGACGTTCAGTTTGCTATAAATTGTTACTGGAGTGACACTCAGGGAGATGGAAACCATACACATCGCGTTTCAGGATATACGCAAACAACGGGACAAAGTAAAGAATACATGCCACCTTACATGACAGTTTACGCATGGTATAGAATTGCTTAGTCGTCATTTTCAACTTCTTTAGCATATTCGTCAGCAGTTGTCTTATATTTGTTAGGAACTGTCTTTGAAAGTATACCACCTTGAACTTTGACAAGTTTGAAACGAGGTCTGACAATAGTAGTTTTATCTTCTGCTTGCAGTGTGTACATTTTGCCATGTTTGCCTAAAACTTCATAATATTCTCTTGTATACTTTCTTCTATTTTTACGAACACGAATGTGAGTACCTGTCGGGTTCCTATTGTTGTCATAGTCAATAGTATTTTCATATGGGTCGCGTCTAGGTATTTCTATTTTTACTTTGTCGCCTTTCTTAAGTTTGAAGCCTGGCATTCTTTCTTGTTTGTCTCTTTTGACTAAACTATTAAATATATAGTCTTTCTCTAAGTCGGGGTTGTTTTTCATTTCTTCGGGGGAGTGGTTTCCCAAACCTTTTTGTTTACGGTTATTGTAAATATTTAAAACTTGTCTCATCTTTGCCATGGAGAAGTGTCTATATTTGTCGTCATATGACATCTCACCTACCTCACCACCTTGTGGTTGATTTAAGTCTCTTAAGATTTTTATACAACTGTCAATGACACCAAGAGCAGAATGGTTTTGGTCGACAATGAAATATTGGTTTACATTTTTTGAACGCAGATAGTTTTTAATATCGTCTGATTTGAAAGAACTTTCACAGTCAGATGTCAGTTTTGTTGGATGGTATTTGTCAACGAATATTGTCAAAGCAGTTTTCACATCTAAAATATTTTTGGACTGTAATGGTATGGCTTCACAGTATCTTGTGTTTTGACCAACAAATATTAGCCAGTATGGTGGTCCATCTTCTCTATACCTCGGAATGTTTTCCATGATATCCATAAACCAAGCATTTGGTGTTGAACTAAAGATTTTTACCATGAGTGCTTTCTTTGTTGCTTTAGAAACATACGGGTCCTTGTTTGGATTCGTCATTTTTATCCTATAAGAAATGGGTTTATTTGGCGCATTAGCAGGAGTTGCATCCAGATTTTTGCCCGCAGTGGGAACAATAGCCAGAGGTGTATTTGGAGTTGGAAGGAAGATTTTGAGTACATTAGGTATACTTAAAGAGAAAGCACAACCTATTATACAAACTGTACAGAAAGGTTGGGAGGTAGCACGAGATGCAGCAAATCTTATTCCAAATCCTGAAACAAGAGGAAAAGTTCAAGGATGGATGGACAATGTAGGAAGAGAAGCAGGAAACTATTATAACAAAGCAAATGACTACTATAACCAAGCAGGACACTACATGGACCAAGGTGAAAGATTCTTTAACAGAGGATATAACCATGCACAACAGTGGGTAAACAACAACCAACCGCAACCGCCTCAAACGTGGGGAATGTAAAGTTTTTTACTGAGATGAAATGAACAATACAGCATTGAGACAAATGGGTTCAAGATGGATTTGTCGACTTCCAGCAGTTACACAACGTGTTTGTCAAGTCCTCCCTATACCTCAGGAAGTTTTAGACCGACTTAAAAAACCTAAACAACCAGTTGAAAACAAACCAAACTAAAATTTTTTACTGAGATGAAATGACCGAAGAAGTTGAAACGGTAGATTTGACACCACAAACAAAAAGTTCAGAACCATTGTCAAAACCTGTCAAAGAACTTACCGATGAAGAGAAAAATTCAATAATAGAAAGTGCCAGGTCTGGAAATACAAACCCTAACTACAAAGTCACTTTTCATAGAAATGGAACGGCTAGTATCTCAAAAAAGAAACAGACCCTCACAAATAAAATATTGAAGTCTGAAGGAACTAAAGAGACAGCAGATGGGAAAGTATACTTCACTGACGAACAGTTCATTATAGAACATCTCATTGACTTAGAGTCGAAATATTCTAAACTTTACAACAAACACAAAAAGTTGAAAGGAAAACAAAAACAAATGGCATATGATATTTATGAAGATACTAACGACACAACCATACCTGCAAGTGAAGTAAAGTCAGAGGAACCGAAAAGTGACGAAAAACCAATAGAAGAAGGGAAGCCAAAAACTGAAGATAAACCAAAACCAAAGTTTAGTTTGGAGACTAAACCAAGTCAACCTTCATTAGCTGGTATGGGTTGGCGTCAAAGACTTTTGGTAGCTGGTGGCTATGTTAAGTAAAGTAAAAACATTTTTTTATTTTTATTTGAAATGTACGCTGAGTTTGTTGGAGAAGACCGTTGGGAAACTTGTTTGTTAGATGAGAAATATGAAATGGCATACCATTTAAAATAAAACATTTTTTCAAAAAAAAATATTTTTTTATTTTATTTGAAATGTACGCTGAGTCTGTCGGAAAAGACCGTTGGGAAACTTGTTTGTTAGATGAGAAATATGAAATTCACTGTTGTGAGTCATTTGAAGTCAGAAACAAAGAGACAAAAAGAGTTTTAAGCGAATGGGAGCGAAATAACGGATATACTACTATGAAGATGGGTGGAAAACACTATTTTAAACATGTTGTCATTGCAACTCATTTTATACCGAATCCTAACAATTTACCTTTTGTAGACCATATAAACCGTATAAGAAACGACAATAGACTTGAGAACTTGCGTTGGGTCACTCGTTCTGAAAACAATAAGAACAAAAGCAAATTTCGAGATATTGTATTCGAATTTGTCGACGAACTAGAAGATGAAACAATTGAAATTACAGACTATGGCAAGCATACGCTTGAGTTTTACTACTATAGCGAAGAACAAGACTCTTTCTACTTTTATACCGGCGTAAACTATAGGAAATTACAAGTATGTTTTACTAAGGAAGGCTATGCTTATGTAAACGCTAGAGATGCAGATGGAAAATACGTTAGACTATATCTTAACAAATTCAAGAAGCTATATGGCATACCATTTTAAAACAGTATTTTTTTATTTTTATAAAAATGCCCCCGTATAGAATGGATAGAAGGTCTGCTAGAATAAAAGCAGAGTTAGAAAGATATGGTTGGAGAGTGTCAAAGAATTTTAAATATAGGAAGGGAAGACCCATAAAAGTCTATGACAAACTGGCTGGTCTGACCTATGAGATGGACTTAAAAACAGCGCGAACCAACTATCCAAACAGACTAGAGAGATTAGAAGAAGAGCGTCTTATGAACTTGCCTTTCGATGTTAGTGAGCCGCAGGTTGAAGGACACGACGGCTTTGCCAGGTTCTACTGGAAACATAACGAACAATTGCATCCTTTGAGAAGGAAAAAAGGAAGAGGTGAAGACACACATGCTCCCATGGAAAGAACAAGATATGCATATGAGAAGTATCGTGAAGTTAGAAGTAAAATTACTTCTGGTCGAACCTTTACAGTAAACTTTGACGAAGGAAAGAACAAAGAAGGCTTCATGGGAGTACTTGCTGCCATTCAAGACGGAAATAAGAAAGGATACAATCTCAGACTAACCATAACAGATTTGGATGGTCACATTTACTATGCACATGGCAATGTCACAACAGCTGCAATGCTTCTTGACGCTTTCAAGACTACAAAGAGAGAACAAATGGTTGACTCCGACTCAGACATTTTGAATGCAATTGAAGGAATTGCAAGTGTCAAGTTCGAATGGTACCAACCTAACCCTCAAGCAGTCAGACAACATGCTGGATACTTCCCGTTCATAAATAAGTCTGACATTGACTTGACAAGGTATGGAATTTACAATTCAATTGAAACAATTGTCAATGAACCTTGCATTCTTACATGTCTCAGGAACTCTGGTCTTGTTACAGAAGAGAAGATGAAGTATCTTGAGTCATGTGTGAAGACAAGGTACATTCTCAGAGGTCAATTGGCAAAAATTGCACCGTTGGCAAATGTCAATATCCGAGTCAACATACCTACAGCTAAAGGTTCTTCACATGACGACTATGTTGTTGACAAAGACTTACCATGGTTGAAGATTGCAATTGTCCACAACCACTTCATGTTGAACGAAAGTCTTATGTTCGGAAAAGGCAAGTGCAACATTGTCAGAGCTGTAAACATTCTTTTCGAGAAAGGTTTGTTGGAACCAATTCCAGATGACAAGCTGACAGAAACTTTTGTACCAAAAGACGAAACAAACTTTTCATTGTTAGCAAGACCAAAAGTTGTTCCAGACAAAGTTCTAGTACAAAAGAAGTACACAATTCCACAAGGAGTTGGATTGTTCGGATACCAACCTGAACCAGAAGAACTTCCAATGAGGTTGCAAGAACTTCAAGATGCTATAAACAAACTTCCATTGAGACATCCAATTGACGTCAAATTGTATTGGAGAGCATCTGAGTTAGGTCAGAAGGTTTTATATGAAACAGGTTGCTTCGACGATGTTTATGAGATAACAGGCGAAGTTTCTCAGAAGATAAGAGACTCGCTTGAATTTCCACGAACTGGACCGATTGGATGCGACAAGTTCGACTCAAACGAAAAGATATACTATGTCGACCTTAACGCTGCGTACATGAGGTTCGTCCAATATATCCCGACTGGAATTCCAAACGAAGATGGTGAGTTCCCAGGAAGGAACTATACAGTTGGAAAAGTCATACAACAACTCTATGATATTAGGAAAGCTTCAAACCCCAAACTTGCAATGACACTCAAATTGCTTATGAATTCGACATGGGGATATTCCATTAAGAAACCTCAAGAGATGAAGA